TTGTATACTTTAGCACTCACACTTACATAATATGTTATAGAACACTTTATAAAACAAGCATGATCTTTGACCTGGAGCATCTGCTATATAGGCCTAGATAATTAAAATAAAAAGTAATCGAAGAAAAAAAAACCATAGATGCTGAGTGTGAAACTTTATTATTTAAAGGAAAATGGTGTAGCCATGGTGTTTACAATTTGACAATAAATTATCTGAAAATTAGAAAGCATGAAAGATTTTAAATATTTTATTGGGGTGTCAGCAACTGTTGTAGACAATTTTTACAATACTATGTATAACAGCACAGTTTGCAAAGATTACCTACCTGCTACTACCCCTCCCTCCCATCACACAATACAATTCCCCTTCCCACCTGAAGGTAGCCATCTCCTCAGCTTGATGTCACTTTATGATACTTAGTAACTGAAGAAGTGTTTAGTTTTCTGATGTAGGCCTACCATCTCAAATTTCCAAGTTAAAAAGTTAGAGGAAAAAAAAACACCATTGACTACTTCGGTAGAGCAAAATATTTTGTTACAATGCTTTTTATTTGGGTTTTTTAAAGTCATCATAGTGGTTTAAAACTTAAGCTGCTTCTTTGCTTGTCTATATCCTTCAGAAACAGCTTGTATAATTTGATTGAACAGGGCTAAATGTTTGTCTGCTGAAGCGCCTGATTTCTTTGAAAACTTGCAACTACAAGGTCTATTATTAAGAATAAAAGTAGATCTTTATAAAGATTCTTTATGTTAATAATGTCCCATTTAAACCTAAATAATTAGCCTATCACTTTTTATCTGCTTGTTTTTATAGTTAGTACAAGTGTGATCCTAAGATCCTTCTGGTGATTTATTCCTCTGTCAAACGTTAACTGAAAATATGTTGATACAATTTATACAAAATATGGGTCAAGGAAAAATTGGAGATAAATTTGGGTAAATTATAATTTTATAATAAATTATTTATAAAATTAAAAAAATTGTTTCAGTGCAAAATTGTAATGCCTTACAATTTTTCATTAAAACATATTTGGGAGAAATAATATGTAATTATTTTTAAAAATGTAAGTTTTAGTAGGGCCAAGAGAAGTTATAAATTTTGAAATTGTGTGCTAAAAAACCGAAGATCAGTATATTTAAGTTAATTAGGCAATCAGCTGAGAGCTAGGAATTATGATGCGTTTATTACGTTGCGACGCATGCATACTTTTCTGAAAATTCAGAAATGGACCTATGTTTTCACTCAGCGAGCAAAAACTTGACCCAGAACAAAAAAAAGGGGAGTAGTTTTGTGCCTTGTGACTCAGAAGATGTTCCATATACCTATTACATGTTTAGCATACACTTAAGTAGGTCAAGTCTCGTATACATGTTGTAAGTGTAAACGCTGTGTAATAGATTAATAAACAGTGTGATAAACTCCCAAGATTTTTCACAGGGACCGACCTTAATGATTAAAAAGACTAGCAGCAACAAGAAAGGATATAAAGAATTTATGGGGCACCATGGATTAGGTGAGATGAATGAAAATTGCCAAAGATTTGCTGACTTGTGTGCCACAAGTAGCTTACACCGCGTTTACACTTACGACATGTATACTAGACTTGACCTACTAAAGTGTATACTAAACATGTTACGAGTATATGGAACATCTTCTGAGTCACAGGGCACAAAACCACGCCCCTTTTTATGTTCTGAGTCAAGTTTTTGTCTTCGCTTGACCTACTAAAGTGTATACTAAACATGTTACGAGTATATGGAACATCTTCTGAGTCGCAGGGCACAAAACCATGCCCCTTTTTATGTTCTGGGTCAAGTTTTTGTCTTCGCTTGCTAAGCGCAAACATAGAACATATTCTGAATTTTCAGTTGAGTGCGCATGCGTTGAAAAGTAGTAAGCGCATCCATGGCCCTAGGTCTCAGCTGATTGCAAAATTAAATAGGCTATACTGATCTTGAGTTTTTGAGCCCACGATTTCATAATTTATAACTTCTTTAGGCCCTACTAAAAATTACATTTTAATAATTAGGCCTACTTATTATTTCTTTAATTAAATCCCAAACATGATTTAATTTTTTTTTTAAATGTAATGTCAAAGGCATTACAATTTTGCCTTAAAACCAGTTTAGGTATTAATTACAAAAATAATAATTAATAAAAAAATATAATTTTACCAAATGTATCTCCAATGTTTCCTTGACCAATATTTTGTTTTAAGTGTATCAACATATTTTCAGTTTCCGTCTGACATGAATAAATCTTTAGGAGCACCCACCAGAATGTACCGTGGTCGTGAGATCACACATAATCAACTGACTATAAAAACAGGCAGATAAAAAAGTCATGGGACATAATTAACATAAAGAAATGAAGGGGGGGAGGGGGAATGAGTGTCACATAGGTCCTACTCTAAAAACTAGATCTATTTTTTTCTTAATAACAGACTCAGTATGGTTGTAATGCGATTTCAATACGTTTAATGAACTTGGCAGATGCAAGTTTTTGAAGAAATCAGGCCTTTCAGCAAACAAATATTCAGCCCTGTTCATCCGAAGCTATTTCTGAAGGATATAGACAAGCAAAGAAGTTGGGGAAATGGCTACCATGAGGTTGGGGTGGGAAGGGGTGATTGTGCCGTGGGATGGGAGGGAGGGGTAATACCATGGGGGTAATGTCTACGACCCGTGCTATTATACACAGCAATATATTTATAAAAACTGTCTAACTTCATTTGCTGGCACTCCAATAAAATTTATAAAATCTTGCATGTTCTCTAATTTTTAGATAATTCATTGTTGAGTCACAAACACCATTTTCCTTTTTTAAAAAATAAAGCTGTGTGCCTACTATCTACGTTTTTTACTCTGATTACTCTTTATTTTAATTGTCTGGGCCTTTATAGCAGACACTCCATGTCAAAGGTCATGCTTGTCTTATAAAATGTTCTATAACATGTTCTGTAAGTGTGAACGCTAAAGTATACATGTTCTGTGGACAAAATTGTTCCAGATAAAAATAACTTTTGGCGGGCTTTGTGTTCTAGAAATGTATAGTATACATGTCGTAAGTGTAAACGCGGTATTAGTAATTGAAGGGAGCCTTTTTCATCAAAAAGGATACATAAAGCTAGAGTATTCCCTGACTTGTGCATGGAAAACCAGATAGACAACATGAATAATAATGAAAAATTCAGGAGATAACTTCAGGGTTTCATGTCTATAGAGGACCTAAAATTGCTTTAGACCAACTTCTTGTTGGTAAAGTAAAACTCAAGTTGAAGAAATTTTTTTTTGGGAAAAACTGGTATAACGCTGACCTACTTAAGAACCCCTCTAAGCAAAATGAGTTTAAGCTCCATATTTCAAACAAGTTTCATGTCCTGTAACAACTAATAGAGGAAGATACCAACATGTGGAGAATGTGCTAAGCTAGGCTCTTTAAATTACAAAACAAAGAATGTATCTCATTAGATACTCTGTAAATTATTGAGGGGAGGTATGAGGAAGCATTAAATAATAGCTGTACTGTGCTGCTAAAGCTCTAGAATAATATACCAAAGCAAATAATGCCAACAAATACTTAAAGGACTCACAGAATTATATAGAATTCCTGGCAAGTGAAGCAGAAGAAGCACTCTACCATGGGAATACTAGGGACCTTTACAGTACAATTACAAAGATATCTAGGAAGTTCAATAAGCCAGAGAGTCCAGTGAAGAACAAAGATCAAACAGGAATACTTGGTGCGAAAGGATAGTGAAATATTGGCAGAACATATTGATTGGAGACTTACTAAATAAACACCACAGTGCATGCAAAATATACCACCAGCTGAAACTGATCTGCATTTAGAATGTAACCAACCTTAAAAGAAGAGAAAAATAAAGCCATAAAAAACAGCAAAATTGAAAGCCTCTAGGAATAGATGGTATAATATCAGAAGCACTGACAGCAGATATTGAAACTAGCACAGCACTCCTTTAAACCCTTCAAAAGAATGTGGCAAGATGAACAAATACCAGAGTCTTAGAAGGAGGGACTACTTATAAAGCTCCCAATGAAAGGCGATCTTAGTGCATGCTCTAACAATAGAGGGTCAACACTTATGTCTATCCCAGACCAAGTCTTCAACAGAAGACTAGATAGACAGTTGGTATGGAAATTGTTAAGCTGTATGGGGTGCTACAGATGAGACTCAACATCATTATGTCATCATATGAAGGTCTAAAAAAAGTATGTCCGAACTAGAATAAGACTATGTTGCATACTTTCACCAACTAGTTCTTGCTGGCCATTGACTGGATTATGAGGATGTCAACAGTGACAAACCATAACGATATACAGAGGACACTCTGGAACAATCCAGGTCTTCAATAAACTAGTAAAACCAGGGCATAGACTTTACATGTGTGTAATAAAGAAGTTAACAAATTACTCTTTAAAACATGACCGCATTTGAAAACTTGAAACTTTTCCCAATTCCCACATTTGGATGTGTTATTTAATCAAATTTTAAACAAGCTTAACCTTTCGTTAATATCACCCCATAATTAGACATACTATCAGATCAAGCCTGTACTATAATTTAGTGATTATTTTGTTATAGGTACCAACTTCAATAGCCTGGTTGATGTCATTGTTAGCCTGCCGTAAAGCCTCCGCTGCTGCTCCAGAGGGAAACTCCATGTCAACTAAAGTATCATAGTGTCGGACATTAACTCTGTACATGATTTTTTAAAAATATTGTACAAAATTACAATTATTTTAAAATCAATTTAAGAAGTTAAAATCAACAACAAAAAACAGCTATAATTTAACTGGTGATTAAAAATATTTCCATTGTACTGAGAATTTCAAGGGTTGGGGGGGGGGATAAGGAGGAAGACATCCCTTTCCATGGTTAGGTTGCTAGTCTTATTTTGCAAACAGGTTTGTGAAACCGAATGCAAATAAATACCTTTCTTATCAAAGAGATTATTTGTATAAACCATGAGAATGGTTTGTGATAGCTTTAATTTTCATAGGGATGGGATAAAAAAGTAGAACCCAGTGGCGTATGCAGGTTTTCGGGGAAGTGGAGCAGGTGCGTGCAGAAAAAGGCAGCAGCTTATATATATATATATAAATATAATATAAACATAAGTTTGGTATAATTTTGTAGCATTTAGCCCCCTTAATACAACCCTGTCGTTATTTTGTTATTTTAATTACTTAAAATTATTTTTGCAACTAGCTAATATATACGTACACACAGACATATATATATACATACATATATATATATATATACATATATATATATACATATATATATATGTATATATATATATATATATGTATATATATATATATATTTATATATATATGTATATATATATATATATATATATATATATGTTTGCAAGTTTTAACTTTTTAAAATGTACTGCTATATTTGAATGGCTTTTATAAAACAAATTGCAATTTTGTTATGGTGATTCACATATATATTATTTTAATTAATATTGTAAATTAAGCTACACATTCATAAAATTGCCAATAGTCAATTTTAGCATGTGCAAAATGTTTTTCTTAGGTCAGGAGATGCAGGAATTCTATTTCTTTTAAACAAACATGATAATGTGGTTGGATGGTAGAGCTTTCGACTGCTAACCTGAAAGTCATGAGTTCGGATACCAGGCTCGAGTCTGTTGGAAGTTCTGGAGTCCACCAAGCTATTATGGTACATGACTCACTTTTAGGAAATCAAGGCAGACAGGCATAGTGCTAACCACACTATCCCCTTGTATGCCGAAGCTTTTGAAATAGATGAACGGCAGCCTTTGAAACAGATAAACAGAGGCCTTTGAAACGGATGAACTATACTTCATCCACCCCAAGTGTCTTGGGCACGAATGGGAGAAGACAGTACTTGAGGAGATATTGTACTTCAATGTTATTGATTTGAAAAGAGTGTGATAGCTTAGCTACTGGATGTTTTGAAAACTCAATAGCATTTTTTAAAGAAGTTGACCTTTTTAAGTTCCAATCAAGATGTATCATGTAGTTCTACTTTAAAATTGTTTGTTAACAGCCTACCCGTTCAAAAAATACAAACACATTTTACTATCTCTGTTCTTTTCCCTTTTTTCAATTTGTCGGAGCAAATGGATTTTTCAGCTTTATCTTGATGATTTGAACTATAATCCATATCCAGCAGTATATAAAAATATTTTAAAATGTGTCAGTCGTATTGTAAATAGGTGTCTTCATTGACAAACAGTTTAATACACAACAAGATGGGCTTCATTAGCCAACATTTGGTACAGATGTTGACCAGAAAATAGATGCTTTCACTTTCATTAGTTTAGTTATCCATCACTGGCTGTTTATGCTGTTTGAATTAATTTTTTTTTTCTAAAAAAAAGATGCTGCTGTCATAAAAATGCTCCCCCTCTCTTGGATACGCCACTGGTAGAACCATATAGAATTTATTAAAGATATTATGGATATTTTAAATGCTAGCATTAATAAAACTGTTTGGCAATCTATAAGTTGGCTACACACTTTTAAAAGCTTTCTTTTGAAATGATTTACCGTAACAACAAATACGATAAAAATAATGAACTTACGGTTCACCCCCAGCAGTTCTGCCCAACCTTTTACTTCTGACTCTTTGTCTCCATTCTTTTTTTGCTCGCTGGTTTACTTCAATCTCTTCCTAATACAAGAAACATTATATGTAACAAATTTTTAATTTACATGAAGAAAAACAATTTATATTATCTTTTGTCATAAAGAAAATGTACATTAAATTATTCAACAAAAGAAATATAAATACCGCTTTTTTCTCCATAATATATTCAACAGCTTGCTGAATATTTCCATTTTTTGCTCTTAAGCCAAGCCTGGCTTCACGCTCAGTGAACCCCATTAGCATTACTAGTGTTGAAGCAAGTATAGATAACTTTGAAAAAATGATTGGTTTCTAAGATCAATTTATCATCATTCTTTAGAAATCAATTGCTGACAGCAAATATTATTGGTATGCTAAAAAATAAGACTAAAGCAGTAGCCATGTAGCATTAATCAACCAAAAAAATCATTTTTGAGAAACTGTTACATTTTACTTGACTGTCTTCATCAAAGTTTCTAGTCACTGCACCTACTTTGGGAAAACAATTTTTTTGGGGGCATTTAAAACAGACAATCCCATTCATTCACACGCCCTCCCTTCCTAAAAGTAATGCCACGTACATCCTGATGCAGTTCTTATTTCATGAAACTGGTTTATTTTTAAAACTAATATGCTGGGTCAGCAGTAGGTATAGTGATCAATGTTGTTATAATTTTATTCTAACATGGTTACAAACTAAAAGTAAGTAATTGGTATTTTTTCCTAATTTTTGTGAATTGTCTAGCCTGATCAAGGGAAATGAATTGTATAATTAAATACTTATTTGACATTTCATACATCTAACTTAAACCATACTTAAGTTATCGGCTATTGAGAAATTGGAACTGGTTACGGAAAATAGCTCAAAAGTTGATAGAAAACTATAAATTTGATATAATACTACTTTATTACATTTTGTCAACAAAACTGAACCGGCACTCACTCAAGTTATCACGTTCACAGACAGATATGCATATACTGACAAAATTACAAAATGGAGTTTCTTAGCTCAGGTTGGTGTAAAAAGCCACAATTTGTTAAAATCTCAACTGAGCATTATTAAAATTATTAGTTTTTGTTGCTTTTTTATATTTAAAAAAGTTGTCTCCCCTCACTTTAGCATGCACATCCCTGTTTAAAAATCATTGAACTGCATTGCTTTGCAAAAATTATATATCAAACTATACTAATTTTTTTTTTAAATGTATGAATTTAGTTAATTAGCAATGTTCTAAAAATGGTTAATCTTTTTAATATCTTCACAAGAACAGCAAAATTTACTTTCTTGTAGTTTGATTTCATCAACATGAAGCAAATTCAGTACAAACTCAGCCTGAAAATATATAACCACAAAATGAATCAAAATCAAAGGTAATATGCTTGTTCTTACAGGCCTACTTGAGTAAATTATAAACTATTTCATGAGATCTGTCAAAAAAAAAAATGGCTTAAGACAAAAACAATACTAATACAGCCAATTCAAGTCTGTACTAATTTTAGAAAGAAAAGAGATGAGAGATATTGGTATTGAACTAGAAAACTTGATTGCTAAAAGTCATGAGTATAACTGTGTAGGTTATCTTGTGGCCGGCATGTATATTAAACTGTTGGTGAAGGAAAGCGCCTATCTTATGGTAAGCATGTGTATTAAACTGTTGGTCAATGAAGGCACCTATTTACAATATGACTGACACATTTTAAAATATTTGGATGTGGGGGTGTAGTTTTATCTCATAACTGAAATATTTATCAAGTGACAGAAAAATGTTAGTTGAGGTTAGCTGAGACCTCACATGACAGGCAACAAGGTGCAATCAAACATCAATGATGTTTGGAAAAATCATGTGACAGCCTACACACTTTGAATCCTAACAGTTGATTTCAAAGTTAAAATTGCTTGAATTCAACAAGAAGGAAAAATGTATAAATATTTTTACCCTGCGAAATAAATTCTGTGCACTGTTGAACTCTCCTTTATGGAAGTCTACAATACCCTGGAGCAAGTAGAGTCTCATAAATAAAACTTGTTCCATTCCTGTGCCACCCTAAAAAATAAAAAATGACTAATCAGCATTTAATATATGTGGATTTTAATACAAATACTTATTTTAAACGTAAATAATTTAATAATCTAATACCTTTATGGCTGTTAATCTCTCCATCTTTTCCCCGTAGCAACGCTTAAAACACGACTCACTTGAAGCAAGTCTAGTTTCTAATTAAAAAAAAGTTGTAATAGAATAATTGTTAAAAATTAAGATGTTGAAAAAACACTATTATTAATACTGCTAACTATGTATTGAAAAATATTTGCTAAAAAATATTTTAGAAAAAAAAATTAAATATTTAAAAAAATCAATGCTTGTTTATGTATGTAAAGCAAACTATAAACACTAGCCTGCGTCTGGTAATTGTTCCAAATTTTTCAACAAAAGATAACACCAGACAATATCCAAGCACAAAATGGCATAGTTGTCAACACTATTTAGTATCTGTGATCTGCACTTACTGAATTTACAAAACATAAAATGAATAAGTAAATAAACAAATAAATATGTGTTTTCCTTTGTGTTTGTTTAGTTTTGTTCTGTTCCATAGTTGGTACATTTAAAAAGATTCACCGTGACATAGCACGGGTATGCAGCTTTACATATATATATATATATATATATATATATATATATATATATATATATATATATATATATATGTTACGGTCAAAGCTTAAAGTGCGGGCAAAGCACACATTGGCCGGCTCTTTTGGCCAAAGCCCGAAGAGCTTAGCATTGAGAACGTATTTTGTACATTGGCCAACCAATGCGCGCACTGGCCGGGATGTCCTGGCCAATGTCCTATCTAGACTAAGTTGTGTTTGCGTTTTCATTATTCTGGGTGCGGTTTCATTGTGAGTAAAGTATTATTTGACCGGTTAATGGGAGGCGAATTTGGCCAATGCGCGCATTTGCCGACTTCGGGCTTTGACAGTGTCATATATATATATATATATATATATATATATATATGTATATATATGTATATATATATGTGTGTGGATGGACAGATTTATATTTTTAAATATTTATATATTTATCCTTTATACATATAATGTTAAATAATTATCTTAAACTTTAAATATACCTGAATTCAGCATCTGCTTCCAAAAATAAAGGCAGTGCTAAAGATACTCGTTTATTTTTCAAAGCGGCTCTACCTTTTTCATGTAGCGTCATAGCTAAAGTCAAAGCCTGTTAATAAATGATTCATTCATTTTTACAAACTCACTAGAAAACCCAGTTTCCCATTGGAAAACAGTATTTTTGTTACTGTATTTACACAAAATTAGTCGGGCATTGTTTTAAAAAGAAAATTTTTCTTTACATAAGTATGCATTTTAAAGTTCTATTATTTTAAAAAGGAAATGTTTCTCGCCATAAAAGTGTGCACTAAGTTCTACACATATTGCAGATTTTCTGTCATACACAGGGGTCAAGAGTACTACAATAAAAAAATGCATCAGGGCATCCTTCTGCACCAAAGTGGATATGTACATTTTGGTGCTTAAGTTCCCTTGTAGGATACCTTAGCACCTGGGTTACCCTAATTGGGCATCCTGTACAGGAGGTCAGGGTGGTTAATACTTGAATCAATGGTCAAACTGCTCCAGCATTCCCCCCCCCCCCTAAGTGGTCAATACGATCCTGAGCACATGGTGCTTGCACATAAGCACTCTGGCACCAACGTTTTAGAGAGCCCCAAATCTGTTATACAGTGGGCTACTACTAATACAATTGATGACCAAACTGTAACTGACGTAGGGCCTGGCACCCCTGTGCTAGAGTAACGGGTGGCTCCCACTAGTGTCGTAGTGCCAACATTGTTTAATTTAAAGAACTCAAGTTCCACAATGTGCTTCTCACAATGACAACTATATGTGGTCGGGATTCCATAAGCACTTGATTAAATAAATTTTATTCAAACAACATTCTGAAATGCTACAATTATTGAAATGAATGATACATTTTAATGAAACTGACACAATGTAAATTTAGTATTATACCAAATGTACTTGAACTTCTTTTCTTCTGAGATCACAGCAATGTGAATCCATATTCAAACCAGCATGTGAGTAGTAAATAGAAAAATATAAATTTTATGCATGCAAGGGAATTATTCGCTTCATGGACAGTCCAAATATCTCATTACAGGCAACCCATAACCCTACTTTCTCTGCTAAAAGCATACCTGTTGCATTGTACAAGCTTTGCCACATCTAATCATACAAAACTGCGACAAAATATTTTTGAGTGTTTCATCAACATTTTACCAATTATGTCTTTTTAAATGCATGACCTTGTTACCTAAATATTTAAATGATGTGGACAAACCTGTACCCCCAACAACTATGATTCAAGAAATATAGCCCCACCTTTGTTCACACTTAAACAACTTAGTTTTAGAAAGCAAGGTCACATGTCTAAAAATACCAGATTGGTAACTCATTAATTAAAATCCCTTAAAATTTTGTGTCAGCCACAGACAGATAAAGAATCTTTACTCCATCTATATTCCACTAAAACTCAAGTTGTTTACAAGTTTGTATATTTATTCTTTGTTTTGTGTTTGTTTGTCTGTTCCACTAAATGAGAATATGTGCACTATGTAAAGAACTGTAAAATACATATTATGTAGAGAAAAAAGTCTTTTTTCCCCAAAATGTTATACACAAATTTATTTAAAGATGATAATTAATTTATTGATATATTCATTTATAGAAACATCCCTTTAATTATACAAGTTTAGAACAAATACTTTATTTTCACAAAAATTAAAAACTTTCACAGGGAACTAAAGAGACACCACTTGAAACAAATAAGAATTTATCAAAACGAAACAAAACTTATATTGATAATTGATAAACTAGAAAAGTAGGCCTAACCAAAATTAATATATAGCCCTTAAATATTTGATATAAATCTTTGTTTTTTAGCTTCACGGACCATCTAATTTTAGAATACAATGAATTTATCTATAGCTACCGATAAACTAGACTTAAGACATTTCTCGAATGTCCTTGAACAAGTAGAGAATGTATCTAGGTTCTAGGCCAATCTAAAGTAAACACACAATGAATAATTGAGTTTCTTTACTAAACTATTTTATGGCCTAAAATATTTTTAATAAATCTTTGTTTTTTTTAGCAATGGAATTGGCTTAATTAGGATATAATTTGATTTAAAATAATATTCCCGTAATTTTACTTTCTTGCGCTCGTTAAAGAAACATAACTAAATATATTTTGACCCAATGATATGTGCCTGGCTGGCTGAGATGATAGAGTAGGTAGTACGGGTTCGAAACACATCATTTCAATGTTAAATGTTTTAGTTTTAATTTTCCCTCATAGAAAATGCACAGTAGGAAATCACAACACACGTAATTGGTTCTAATTCATTATTATCAGTTTGATGTTATCTTTAATAATTTATTATTCATATGAGGTTTGAGCTCAGAAATTATTATTGATAGAAATCAATGTTTTTAAAAGACAAAAACGTTTCAGCTGAGTTGTGAATTTTTAAAAAATGTGAATGCTAAATTTGACTTTTAGACTTGGTGGGAGATGGAGCAGTCAAAGTAGAGTTCACCTGTTTCTGTGAACTCAGCATATGAGGTGTGGTCAGACACATGCTCAGTCAAATATCTGTGTCTTTAAAAGACAAAAGCATGTTGCCTGGGGTGTTACATCTTTTTAAATGTGGGGTCTGGCTTTTTGTGATGATGTGTGACAGTGGGGAAGGGGAAATGAAAGATGAAAATGATCAAACAAACATGACATCATTTATTGATGACCCCGAAACCTACAGTAATCCAAGGATAACTGGCTGTCAAGTAGAATATAATATTGGCTATTAGGGATTTTTTTGAACGATGAGTAGTGGAAAATACAAAGCAGGTTTGAGTATTTTGCCATTTATCTACTTATCACAAAAACAAAACACATTATCTGACTAAAATATACACTACTTCTTGATATAAAATAATGAACATAACCAGATGGGTTAATTTTTAAAGTCAAAGTAATTCTTTGATGAATTGAAGAAATATTTGCTCTATTTTAAAACAAAATTTTAAACCCCAGTTGCAGCAGTATATAAAATTTGTTGAAAGTATTAATCAACATCACTTTGCCTAAGTAATATAATGTCAGTCATGGAAATATAGCTGTAAGCAGTTTTAAGTTTGCAGTTCTGTATCACAAGTTTATTTTTTCTGTTTTTTTTTTTTAATTCTGAGAAAAGTGCCACTATCTTGAAAATGCTCTTAGAAGGAAGTGGCTTTGGCAGTTTTCCTGTTAACTTTTTTATTATTTTTTGGTAAATGTATTTCTCAAATGTTAAAGATACTAAGTTACTTACTTTTTTCTCATCAAGTGGTAAAACAAGAGGCTGTCCATTCTGATCTGCTATCTGTATATCAAAATCATCATCATCTTCTGATTTAAATGATAAAATACGCACCCTTTAATACATGTATCAATTAATTAAAAGTTTAGTGAACTATTGATAATTGATGCTTTGTTGTTGGAATCAATACAATTTTAGTCATTTATATTTATATTCCTTGAGTATGTGTGAATTTATATACATGCATAAATTTAAGTTTACCTAAAAGTTATAGATATCCTTCATACATTAGAAATTATTTTTTGTTTAATACATATATATTTTATTAAAATTTGTATAGCATCAATCATAAAAAGTTTATTAAACACTTTGATGCATTTATGTGTGTATAAAAGCCAAATAGATATTTAACATGTTAATAAAATTAATACCTTCTGCTCTTGATGATAATATCTCAGCTGCTCTTCTAGTTTTTTCTACCTCCAAAATATTAGCTTCACTTTCCACAATCTTTGCTTCAGAGGATGTCATAAACATGGCCATAACATCAGCACCATTCTGTGAAAAAAATGCCCTATCACAATGACAGTTTGTAAAATGATAATGCAATTACTTTACAGATTTTAAGTAACAAACTTTAATACAGAATAATGGTTTGTTAGCAGAAAAGCAAAGAAATAAAGTTTGATCAAATTTACTATTTTTTTTATTTATGTAAGGAAAACCAGAATTTTGCGTTGTAAAAAAAAAAAACCTACACAATTTTTAGTTAACAATGCAATCGAAAAATTTTCTCACAGTAGTTTTAATTTGGTGAAACAAGTTATAAATTATTGAGTAGTTGAACAATCTATAAAATTGTGTTACCTGTATATTTTGTTGCTGGAGACTTATATTATCATCAATCACCCTTCCTTTACAAATTAATTTAAGCAGTGTTGGCAAAACATCAAACTTAGCTGCTATGCAGTTTCTAAAGTCATTTCCTGTGATGTCTAAACTGCATTCAACTGGAATAACCTGTTGGGCTCCACTACTCTGAATTGATTGTTTGAATAGATAAAATTTGTAATTACAAAAAGAAAAAAGTTAATTTATTTTAATTTGGGATAAACAATCTATACAGACCTACTTTACAAAATACTATAGGTTCCCAGAAAGATGTGCAAACAGAAATTTGTGCACACAGAAAATGCTCAAAGAGAAAAATGAATATTCATTGACATATGTTTTATCTCTTGCAACAGCCTTAATTAGTGCGTTTGGGCTTGTATGAAAACAAACTAACTCAATTACATGCTATTTATTGACAAGGTAAGAGTCACCCAACTGAACAGCATAATGGGCAGATGTAGCCTATATAACAGAAGAGCTATGGTTGTAGCTATCCAACCCACCCACCAACCTGTATACATATATATATATATCAGATAGGTAGATAGTTGCGTCATGATGAAATTATATCAAATACATTATTGTTATGATCTGTGTTTTATCAGGGTATTTTGGTGCAAATAAATGTTGGTGCGAGAGATATAACGAATGCATTTTTTGATGACTTGAATGAAAGAGAGTGAAGTTTTGCGATAGGAACGGGTTGTTTTAGAGTTGGCTAAATTAGGATATAATTTAATATAAAATGAACCAACCCGCTGTGTAGCATACGCTGCTATTTAGTTATTTTATTTTGTACTTCTTGGTAATTCACAACTTGTGAATTCAGTATTTATTAATGTAGAGGCATTTTAAATTGTAAAATTATCTTATTTATTAATATCTTCAGCCCCTTTTTTTTATTTCAGATAGATAAATAAATACTTAATTAGGTAAATACAGTCTATATTAACTATAAATTAACTATAAATTAACACTAAATTATATTAGCATGTCGGCGCACTGGTACTGACTGCTTCACACCACTTTTATATTAAAAAGAACTGTAATGACTGAAATGGGGTTATAAGTAGTGATAAAATAAATTATAGTTAGTTAACAATACAGCATTGTTGGGTTTTTAAATAAAAAATGAAAAGTGAAACATGATTTATATTAATATATTAATAGCAGCATTTTAAATCACTTTAAAATATGGAAATATCTAATTTCATTAATCTAATAATTCTTTAAAATTACAATCAGGGTTCCCACAATTTTTTGACCAGAAAATTCCCTGCTATTCCAAGAAATTCCCTGCTATTTCAAGTATTAATTCCCTGTTATTCGAAGAAATTCCCTGCTATTTTTCATATAAATTTCAACCATTGAACATAAACTTGCCAAATTAAATTAAATTAAACCACAAAAAAAGCAGACATATTTTTAGGGGTGTCACTCATTTTTTAAAGTGAATAATATCCTAAAATTCAACCCCAAAACTTACATTTTTAAACCCTGAAACTTGATGTAGCTTCAGAAATTAAAAAAAATAAAATTTGACAATACTTACTTACTTTTAGAGACATTTGATTCATATTATGTTATATGTTTTTTATACATTCTTTTCATAATTTTAACTTTATAACAAAGTTTAATATTTAAGGATTATGAATATAACAAAAATAGTTTAAAATAGTAGACCCATCTTGATCTCATATTCTAATATTACATTTCTAGAACCTCCCCCAATACAAAACAACGGTTTATGTTAATACAATTAATATTAATATAGTGAGTTAAGCTGATAGTAATCACACTTTGAAACCTAATTTAAAAAGTTATTTTAGCACTTCCTATATTGAGTTCAATAAAGTGTGTAGTCAGCCAAAAGTGTGTAGTTATTCACTCAACCAACAAACTATAAACTAAAAATATTTTGATTAAAAACAAGAAGTTTGAAAAATTTCACTCATGCTATTATTGTACTAATTAATACCTTAGTATAGCTAATATCTAAAACAAAGAAATTTCTGTTACTATGAAATAATACTGAAACAGTTTTTTTTAAGTTCACAAAAATTAATTTAAAAAAAATATTGAACTTACTTAAACTATAATCATAATGCAATCTGTTTTCAATTTCATGTTTATGCCATTTCTTAGAGGTACCTGATTTTTAAACTTAAATGAGCCTAATAGTAATTTTAACATTTTAGTTTGATAGGCAATAATATCAACCTGAATAACTGAAATGAGATTCTAGAGTCTATTTTTTTTTTAATTTCAAGTAAATCGTATTATGAAAAAAAAAAAAACTTTAATTAACCAACATCAGAACCAAGCAGGCCTATAATCATGACTATAGTAAACACATCAATGTGTATGATTTTCAAATGGCCGACTGCTATTAGTTTAAAAATTGATGATATGGCATTTCCCCCCCCCCCCTCCAATAGACAATGTGGAGAGGTCATTGTAAATGCCTATAGCATAAGCCATAACAGGAACAACTGCTATTTGAGATAGCTGATTGAGTCACTTTATTCCCCCCCCCCCCCCCCCAAAAAAAAAAACAAACAAAAAAACAACACCAACACCATGCTGTGAACTTGGAGTCACAGCGAGTTAAAGAAAGCCCTATTTACTGCAATCTACTTGGAGTCACAGCGAGTTAAAGAAAGCCCTATTTACTGCAATCTACTTGGAGTCACAGCGAGTTAAAGAAAGCCCTATTTACTGCAATCTACTTGGAGTCACAGCGAGTTAAAGAAAGCCCTATTTACTGCAATCTACTTGGAGTCACAGCGAGTTAAAGAAAGCCCTATTTACTGCAATCTACTTGGAGTCACAGCGAGTTAAAGAAAGCCCTATTTACTGCAATCTACTTGGAGTCACAGCGAGTTAAAGAAAGCCCTATTTACTCCAGTTGTTAAGATTTTTTATTTCCCCTCCCCTAATTGTAGTTGACCCATACGCATTTGACATTGTTGGTGACATCAATAGCCTTTAATTATTTTCAAGAACGCAAGAAACGCTGGGTTTCGCAAATTTCGATTTTTAAAAAAATCTGTGTTTCTCCCAATTTCAATATTATGGCTAACCGTGAAATAGTCTGCTACAACAGTTATCCTTAAAATGGGTGATAATATTCATCAAAATTCCCGGTTTTCCCAGATGCGAGGGAACCCTGAATCTTAAATGTTTATTCAATAGATATATACACACATTATATATTAATCATCATCATCTTTTCACATTAATGCCTAAGTAGAATTCATCTGTTTCAATGACTTCGCAATTGAAGGGATAGCATAATACCAGTATGCCCAGCTGCCTTATTTCCCCAACAAGAGTCAGGTACCCATCAGAGCTAGGTGGACACATGAACATTTTAAAGACTTGAACCAGTGATTTCAATTCAGGACTTTCAGTTTTACCATCTGACTTTACCATCCAACCACACTGTTATATACTAATACAGACTTAAAATAATGTATGTTATTAACTTATTTAATTATGTAATAATTATATGTGTGAAAATATTGATGAGTGTTTTAAATAGTTTTGGGCATTTCAGCATAATGTCATTTATTTGTTTAAACTAAGTTTAACTTACTAGTTGTGTGATATAAAATAAATAATTATTTGCCAATGGTGGTGATTTAAAAAATGTTTTTTTGTAAAACACTCTTTTATATAAAGCAGAGGGAGAAGCCCTTAAAAAAGGAGTAAACTACTTACTGTGGAGGGTGAAGCCCCAGTTAGTTTCACTTTGAGAGTAGCAACACCCAAATTGTGAAATTTTTCTCTCTCCTGTAATTTTGTAACAGCATGAATACGAAGTTCTTCAAGTCCTAAAGCTATTTCATCTCTTGTAAAGTTGAAATCTCCAAAAACTTTAGTGATGAGGGACTAAATTTAAAATGATGTAAGCAATAGTTAAAAATAATTTCTATTACATTTCTATTATTTAAAAAAGAAACTGTACTGTAAGACAACTATAACTTTTAAAAAATTCACTGTGAGCCTAAAATTTAGCTGGTTCATTTTTACAAAAATATTCTTTGATGACAATACAAGTCTATATATTTTTTAATTTAATTACATGTTGAATTAGTTATTAAACTTTAATGAAACTGTTTCAAAACTGAAGTGAGGTAACAAAATTAATTCACTAGATAGAAAAACATATTTATCGAGAAAAATGGCCCGTTGAGGAAGGATACAACGGGCGCTAGGCTGATAGTGCTGTCTCTTTTCTCTAAACTAAAACCACCCCACCCACCACCCCCCCCCCCCCACCCCCAAAAAACATGTCTACCATCCCATTCAACGAAATATAATTATATACTTTTTCCAGTGTCCGCCCCCTCCCCGAAAATTCTACCCCCGCCCCCGAAAATTTCAAGTACCCCCCACCCCTCTCCGGGGAGGAAAAAGTCTGAAAGAAACACTGGTGTCGCGCTTAGCCACTACCCGAAGAATTGCATTAAAGAAATTGCGAGAAAACCACTTTTTAGATTAGACACATTAATTAGGCGGTAATTTTATTATAGAGTATCGATGAGGAAATTTCTTTTGAGTTGGGGAGGGGGGGGGGGGCTCAGACGTTCTTACGCGGGGGTGGGGCTTTGCCCCTACCCAAAGAATTGTATGAAAGAAACTCTTCACGCAAACCACTTAGATTAGACAAAATTTCCTTTTTATTCAATGTTTACTCGGGAATCAATGACGTCATATTACTGTGTGCACTCTCCGGCTTGAGATTATTTTCTACTCTATGCTAAATGTGACGACATCATACTTCGTTTTTCGAATTACTATGCATGTTTTTAATTTGCTTGTGTTTTCTCTAGAGCGTTCTTGTCAGATAGATAGATAGATAGACAGACAGCGAAACTATTAGTATTAATAACAGAAGGGGAGATAACTAGCTAGACGCTATCACCAGTTAGGTGAGCTATGGTTCACAAAAATGTTAATAGTTAAGGCTATTAGGGGCAGATAATAAAGTTTTTAAGCAATTTGAAACTATTGTGATTAGGAGCAGTAGCTTTCCTGCGAGCTGCTGATGGTGTTTTAAAGCAAATATTTTTAGTCGTATTGATTATTTTGCTTTCTTTAATAAAAGATTTGGTTGCTCATGATATCTTTTACATATTTTAGCCACAAAAGCTTTCAGTGAAGAAAGCAAATTAGTTTTATTTTCTTATTTTCAGTGCATTTAAATGCTTGTTGCTTTTATATTTGTTTTATTTAAAAATTAATTTAGGTAAAAGAATTACATACAATTTTTTTATGTGATTTGATAAAGTCTAAGACTTTTAAGAGACTAAGGACAATGTTACTCACTTATAGACAACACTAGACTACCCGTCATCCCTTGGATAACTGTGGGTTTCGGGGTTCATCCATAAAAAATATCACGTCTGTCACGTATCGTCACAAAAAACCAGACCCCACATTCAAATAGAGTTCACACCTCAGAGGTTTTTGTCTTTTAAAAACACCTATTTCGGGTTTGACCACACTATCCCTTCATATGCCAAGAACACACAAACATGTGAACTCTACTTCACCTGCCCCGTGTCCTGTTAAAATTATAAGCAAGATTAGCGGTATAGAATCCTTGTATGAAACTTAAGTTATGCAAATAGGCCCTAGATCGAGCATTTCAAATTTAATATTATCCCAAATTAGCCTATTCCATAGCTAAACAAAGAAAGATTTATATAAAGTAAATATTAAGGCCTGAAATAGTTTAGTATATCTAGATAGAGCTAGATCTTGAATTTACGTTAAGTTTATAATTTTGCAAAATTAGCGGTATAGAAGCCGCGTATGAATCTTAAGTTACGCAAAATAGGCCCTAGATCGAGCATTTCCAAATCAGCATATTCCATAGCTAAACAAAGATTTATATAAAATAATTAAGGCCTAAAATAGTTTAGTATATAGATTCTAGGTTCTAGATTTAGAATTTACGTTGAGTCTAGATTTCCACATCTAGAATCTAGATTAGATCTAAATTTTAGATAGATCTAGATTCTAGATCTAGATCCTAAGATAGATAAATTGGACCTAGATCTATGCATTCTCAAATAAGATGATCATTGAAGCTAAACAAACATTTATATAAAATAATTAAGGCCTGAAATAGATTCTAGAATCTAGATGTAGAATTTACATTAAGTCTAGATCTAGAATTTACGTTAAGTCTAGTGACCAGGGTCCATAGCCAAATCCCAAAAGAAAATTCAAGGGTTTTTCAAGGTTTTCAAGGTGATTTTGGGGGGAATTTCAAGCAGTGTTTCTTCCAGACTCTTCTCTCCGGGGGGGCACTTGAAATTTTCGGGGGGGCGGACACTGTTAAAAATATATATTTTCTATATAAATTATATAAATTTCATTTCGTTCGGGGGGGGCGGTAAAAATTTTTCGGGGGGCAAAGCCCCCCCGAAGAGATGCCTGGAAGAAACTCTGATTTCAAGGTAAAAACTACCACTAACGGGCATTACAATGAGGGTTATGTATGTTTTTTGCACACACAATTTTTAAAATAATTTTGGTGTTATTACGAAATTATCTAAGTCAGGAGATTGTCTGAGAGTCCAGCATAATCCCTTTTTCAATCAGTATCTTTGGTGTCAAATGACACTCCTCCAACTTCTATTTTCAGAAAAACCTCTTTCAACACTGGCTTGACCATGTGACAGAAGCAATAGATCTCTAACAATTTTCCAAATGTTCACATAAGAAATTTTGCTACCAAGCTGTTCTATGAAAAAAATGTCCAGCCTATCATGTTCTCAATTAGATTTAGATAGACAACCATTTAGAGTACATGTATCTATGAATGTTGAAAATTGAAACAGAACTTGGTCACACTCAGCTGATTTCAGTTTCCATTTGTTGACTAGGATGTGAAGAATTCCCTCCATTTTTTTGGTGAACTGGCTCTATTTTTAAACATTTGCATTAGGCTAAGTCTCTCACTAATGACTAAAGTAATGGAGATTTCAACAAAAAATTTGATGAAAATCCTATCAAAGTTGTCTTACAATCAGATTTGAAATCGAGAATTTGAAGCTCACTTGCTTTTTTTATTTTTTCTAGAGACTTTATTAGAGAGTCAGCAACAAACCCAACTTCAATTGAATGACTTGTCAATGTCAAGTGATAATCAGAATCAGGTCATTATACATAAAAGGAAGCATTGGTTCGTCTGTCTGATAGTCCTTTAAAAAGGACTCTGCACACATATTCCTTTAAAAAGGACTCTGGACACATATAGAAACAAAAAAAAACCTAGCTATGCTTGTAGAAATTATCCTGCTTAATGTCATAAATGACCTCACGCTTTTTAAAAGATTATTACCTCCCCCCCCCCCTCCGTCACACATCACAAAAAGCCAGGCCCCGCCCTCTAAAATGACGTCACACCTCAGCCTATAACCCCCCCCCCCCTCATAATTGCAGTTGAATTTTTCTTAAAATACAATTTTTTCCCCAAAATCTTGTCTGCTCTGTCAAATTAGAGTATTTTAATCAATTCCTTTTACAATTTATTAAAACAGTTTTCTAAAATGCTAAAATTCGTTTTCTAACATTGCCTTTTAATAATGCAAAAGTGTGATGTCACACCATCTGACCCCCCCCCCCCTCATCCCCTCATCACACACCGTCACACGATTACGGACCCCCCCCCCTCCCCCTACGAGTGTGACGTCATTTTTCGACGACCCCAATGTCCCCACCTATGATATACATGATGACGTAAAGAAATATCATGGAACTTTTAAGTTAGTTCATATTGCGGAATAACAGAATTAAGTTGTTTTTAAACAATTTCCCAAGTAACTCCGCTAGTAATACTCATGTCAGAGATGTAGCCGCCCGACAAAGTGAAAAGCGGATTTTTTTTACAAGCAGATGGGAGGGGGCAGTGACAGCGGCAATTTTCTCAAACACGGTAATTCGAGGCTTCTTAAACATTTCAAGGACGTTTTACCACAGTAAAAAGCAATTAGATCTAGACCCTGCTAGATGGTGTAACTAAATTATAGCAGATCTACATATTTTGTTCAATGACCTAAAACGATGCAGATCTAGTTTTTGTTTATTATGTTAATAAACAAAAACTAATTAAAGATAACCACGTTAAAATTAGATACACAGCGTTTGTAGAACTGTCTTGACCGTGAGACACTACTGTGCTCGCGCGTGGTCTCGTGTCGTAGGTCTTACGGTGGTAAAAATTGTCCGTAAAGTTGAGTGAAAACAGCACAGTCATAGTCCTTCAAATTATTTTTCTTTTCTTTTGATAAATACAAAAAAAAAATTTACGTCGGCGCAAATTCTTTCCTTTTTTAAGAAGACAATCGGCGATGCTTATGAGCTGGTAATGTTAGGATTTAATTTTTTTTTTTTAATTACACAGCCTAGCGGTAGCCCACTGATGACGTCTTGTAATTAATGCGAATTTTACCCCAACCTCTATCGACATAAATAACCAGACAGCCACGTCAAGAATGACATCAAAAAGTTCTGTCTACAGCCTCACCCATCTGATACAGCCAATGTGTATTTGGTCCATAACGCACGTGAGATTGACAATTACGTCATTTGCTATTGGTTTTTAGCGCAATTTCAAAAAAAGAAAAATTGCATTTAATAATGCGTCATTTCTGGATGGATGGATGTATGGATGTGTGTCCGCAGCTTTAAGTGGTATCTCCTCCTCAACGAAGCAATATCGAGGACTAGTTCCAAAAGCAAATATGTTAAGCAAGTTCCAAGGATGATTGTGGGCAAAAAAAAATTCCGGAATTCCTTCCTGGAATTCCCGGAAAAGCCAAAAAACCTCGAACAAATGCAGTTTTTTTGCTCCATATCTCAACAACCAGACCACTTAGCGACTTGAAACATTTACCAATCGATTCCTGCCATAATTTAGACCAATATTGCCGAAGCAAGTTTTCAAAAATATCCTTTCGTTCGGTCACAAAAAATTAATTAAGAAAATTTAAACTGAGCGTCGTGTAGGTTTTTAGCGCAAAGCTGAGGTTCGAAAGGATTTTACCATAGCGAATGAGCGGAGGTTCGAAAGGATTTTTTTTTTTCGACTGATACGGGAGGCTAGCCTATCGCGACGTGGGATCGTTCGCGTCACTGCGCGCGGCAAGAGAGAGAGAGAGGTGAGCTACGCGTTGCTCGTTTTTTTTCCAAGTGATTTAAATTTGTTATGGATAACATAAGGAAATAGCGCTTAAATTGTCACTAGACAATTCTCTCCATAGCAAATCAGACAAACAAAAAAAAAAAAAAAAAATAAATAAATATTCAAACATGGTAAACAAAGTTGAGTTTTAGTAGTATATAGATGAAATTATGATTACCTCAGGTATTTCTCCTTTCTGTTTATCTTCAGTTGTGAATGGAGGCAACCACAATTTAATTTTTTCAGAATTCAAGCGATCCCTAAGCTTTTTTAAAAGAAGGTCTCTACTGAAGTTTTCCATTTTACATAAACTATTGAAAATAAAAGTACATAATAAAAGTTACTTATTACGGTAATCTATCGTTTTAGGTACGTAAAATCTGCCAAGGCTAGTAATGTGAAAAAAGGGTGACTCATCAAATTTTTAAAATTATTTTACATTTTCAGAAAGATTTATAGGGGTCAGCGTGGTCGAGGCGGTAAAGCTCATGGTTTCTAAACAGAAAAGTCTCGAGTTCGAACCCTCGGGCAGATGAGGCTTGTTAGCTGGAGACAGCCACTCTTCTAGGAGAGACAACTCCAAAATGAAACAACTGTTGCCTTGTAGTTTGTACTTGGTTGGACAAAGGCTATGGAAGCAAATCCAAATAATAAAGCAGGCTGAAATCGGGGTCAATGGCCTCAATGGCGCATAATCATTTATCTATAATATTTGACACAAATATATCACAATATACTTCTATTAAAGCTTTGACAATGAGGTAACTTTTTCGTACATTACTAGCCGCTGGCGATTTTTACGTACCTAAAACGATAGATTATGGACAAATAGATACAGTCTAGGCCCTAGTCCAGAAATGGTCGCCAGTGAGAAAAGTCTCAAAGGTATTTGAGAGGCCCATAAATTAATTTAAAAATCATGCACGGCGTACAATATGACTATAAAATCCTGTCTGTCTGGTTTTTTCGGACTTTACTAAAGATTGGATGTATTTGATGTTTTTAATATTTTCGGTAACTAAATAAAATAAAAAAAAAAAGCAAAAACAATTTGGTTTTCACATGTAATGGCCACATAAACAATTGCATCCTGATATTCAATAGGCCGCCATAAATTTTATTGTACACATTGTAAGCTATAAAAAGAAAAACTAGGTCATGGGGTTTAAATTTGCATTGTTATTTAAAAGCTTGATCTGCAAAGTTTTGTAAACAAAAAAACTATAAAGTGGGGCTGTCAGAAATCAATCATGGAGTTCCTGTACAGCCAATCAATGTTTGTCTTACGAAAGTGAAACATCAGTTATAACTTAGGCTTGATGAAAATAAATACTAGGCCTAATAAATAGAAATTTTTTAATGTAGCCTTAAAAAAATCTCAACAAATTATTTTCAAGTTCTCGGATCTGCAACTTTTATAGCATTGATTCTAAAAATATTAAATCGTCAACTCACTGGTGTCCATTAACTTTAAACTTTGGTAATCTATCGTTTTGGGTACGTAAAATCGCCGCGGCTAATAATGTACGAAAACGTTACCTCATAGTCAAGGCTTTAATAGAAGTGTATTGTGATAAGTAATATGTTTGTGTCAAATATTATAGCCTAGATAAATGAATATTAAACCAAATCAATGGCTAAATAATACTAAATATATCAATATTTGATTCAATAGCCTATAGGCCAGAAATTAACTTTAAACAGCAGTGTCTTTGAGCAAGATTTGCTATATAAACAGCAGCCATTTGTAAAATAGAGTGGCTTCCCCCTGAATCTCGCGTTATAAGTTTATAAAAATAAAACTTAAACAAGATGGCTGCTATAGTAAATGAACGTTGTTGCATCTGTTGGAAACATCGCTAGTCTTTATTTATTACTGAAAAGTTTTACTTTAATTCAATTGTTTAAAAACAGGTACATGAAACAAGGAAACATTTTTGTATTTTAAAAAACATAAATCCTCCTCAAAATGTGAAATCTGAAATAGATCTAGAACATCTAATCTAGATCTAATTAATAAATTATTATTAAAATTTAAGGAGTCACCTGTTTTTCACATCACAAGTCGCGGGCGATTTTTCGTACCTAAAACCGTACAAACTAAAACGATCGATTACCTAAACTATCCTAAACTTTAAACAATAAACACTAGTCTAATATAAATTGTAATAAACAGCAGTATTTGCGAGCATCACATTCACATATTATTATTAATTAATATTAATATAATATATTATAGGCCCCTATTAATCATTATGTGACACATGATTGACATAAACAGCTAGATCATCTAGCTAGATCTAGATCTAGATTTAGAAATCTAGATTCTAGATTAAATCTTGTTAGATATACCAATAAGATCTAAATTATAAACAAAACAACTTTTATTTTCATTTATCTAGATCTAGATTCTAGATCTAAGATCTATGATCTATGAATCTATCTATGATCTAGAGTCTAGATCTAGATACTCCACACTTACTCGTCATTTAAAACATTTTAGATGCATCATTGTTGTCATTTTAAGCTGAGTCATCATCATTAAGTTTCGAATTTCAATCAACAACTTAAAAATCCTCACATAAAAACACTACTCTAAATATCAGAGGCGTATCAACGAGGACGGCAAAAGGAGAAAAAAATAAAAGCTGCAGTTTTGAATAATAAACAGTTAAAGTTAAGGGGATATGCTATGTTTTTTCCTATTTTTTACAATCTAATATCTAAAGCATTTTGAATAATTTCATCATGTTTGGCATATAAAAGTAAGTATTAAACAGCAAAATAAGGGTTGAAAACAATTTTGGTTGTCATGGAAACCCGAAAAAGCCTTCGCCATTTTGAATTTTTTGGTACTTTTAAAAATGCTAAGGCTTTTTTATTTATGCACCTAAAGCTATCAAATTTAAACTGCTTATATTTCAGGATATATTTAAACTTTTGTCACGAAAACTTTTTGAAATAGCTACTAGTAAGAATTTTACAAAGTCTACAAAATCGTACCATTTTTAGTGTTCAAAATTTTCAAAATTTGCATATTAATTACTAAATACTTTTTTCTATGTAAGACATCACAATTCCCTCGTGACAAAAGTTGTATTTTTGCACGAAGAACAATTATGGAAAATATGGTTGCGATTGTTTAATAAATAAAAAAGTAGTAGGCTTTATAGTGTTAAAAACATTCGAAGTGAGAAAAACAGCCAAAAGTAACGAAAAGTAGGTCACGAAAATACCATATCTGGGTAAACTGCAAAGTAGATTGTAAGCTTTGGGTGTTTCCGAGATTATGGAAATTAAGATTATCAAATAAAGGAGAAATCCAGCTTTCCAATGATGCCAAATATAATATGATGAGGGATATACAACTTTTCATAGAGAGCATGTAAGATTGGGAAAAATTGATTATTTTTAATTAACAGGGTCATAAAAATGGTAATTTAAACACCTAAATTTTTTTTCTCCTTTAAGTTATTATTTTCCTAATGCAAAAAAATGGACAAAGTATGCAAAAGTGCAAGAAACCCATCATGACGAAAAACAAGAAATTTTGTGGTTTTTTATCGCGCATATCCCCTTAAGAAATTCTATTTTAGCGGCTACAAGCCTTGATATTTGATATACTGATTTACTGGCGCACCGTCAAAGGGTCAGGGACAAAACGGCCCCGTCAGGTCGACTCCCGACAAAAAGACGCAGTCAAAATAGCCCCGTCATATGGGGTCCCGACATATTGGATCCCGTCAAATAGGTCCAGACATATTGACTCGCGACATATAGGCTCCCGACAAATGGGTTCCCTACGTATTGGCTCTCGACACATGTGCTCCCGAAATGTGGACTCCAAACAAAGTGACTCCAAAATATTGGCTCCAGACAAATGAATCGCATGACCAGGCTTGACATGAACCATTTTGTACAACCCACAAACCACACAGTAATTCATAAACAAATTGAGCCTTTAACAGCTCAATACAATGTTAAAATTTTGATAATGTTTAGCAATGTTAAAATTTTGATAATGTTTAATTTTCAACAATGAAGATCTGTTGCTTAAAGGCGAGCTCTGAAATGTATGATATGCATGATCAGAGCCGGCATTAGGGGTACGCGGGGCCTATGGCCAACCATCCGCGTGGGGCCTTATATTTTTCCATTGGTGTCTAAAACATGTACAGTGAAGCGTTTTTTTTTCTTTTCAACGCGAATTAATATTTATAACGATATCTATGGTATTTTTAAGCTGCTTATCAATGTCGTATTAACATAAAGACACTGATTAACAAATAATTTGTTTACTTAGAAGTGCTTTTGAAACGTTGCTTGTTTCTGTTAAGGCTTTTTGTTTGAAAAGTAAAAAATAAAACAGATAGGCCTATAAGTTCGAGACACGTATTTAAGAGACGATGAACGTCAGCTTCAAACCTGATTTTTTTACATTAATGTTTATTTATGAAAATACTAGGCATGCTGCCCAGCTTCGCTTAGGCTTTCAAAAACATTGATGTAATATAGTGAGACTTGTGAAGTCAAGGGAACTCACTCTTCTTGTATTAGTATTATATTTATACTGTTATCTTGAGTGATGTCCCTTACATGTATATATATCTTTATCTCTCGTCACTTCCACTCTCTCTCGTTATCATCATGTAGTTGGAGGCCAATAAACGTTTTATATACAACCACATGCTTCTATCGTCAATCCATTACATCCGGCGACGAGGATAAATAATCCACTAGAAAGAGCACCTACTTACTCAAAAAGAGGTTTGCTAGAGCATATTGGCTAAGTATTTCTAGAATAATGGCGCTGTATGGCCAAATAAAAGAATTTGATTCGAATGATGAAACCATCCATGATTATCTAGATAGGTTAAGCTTTTACCTTGAAGCTAACGACGTGACGATAGAAGCCAAAAAGAGAGCTGTTTTGTTAACAGTCATAGGGCCTCAACAATTTAGGCTACTAAAGGACTTATGCGCACCAGCTAGTCTAACTACCAAGAGCTTTAACGAGCTGAGCAAATTGCTAACAGACCACCACGCGCCTACCCCATCAAAGTTTCTATGTAGAGCTAGATTTGACGGTAGGACTCGTCAACCAAACGAGTCAATATCAGAATATGTTGCTGCTTTACGTCATTTAAGTGAATTTTGTGAATTCGGCGATACGCTGTCTGACAGACTATGTGAAAAGTTTGTGACAGGTGTAAACAGCCCTGATTTTCAAAGAAAGTTACTGCTCGAGTCAGATCTAACATTAGAAAAAGCAATACAACTTGCAACTTCATTCCAGCAGTCACCTGAGGCGGCAAAATCTCTAACGCCCTCAGGGATCCATGCAGTAAACAGCAGGTTAGTCAACAAACACCAACCCCATCAGAGCATTTCAACTTATGCTAAACAGCCTGCACGTTCAAAATCTTAGATCTAAATCTAATAATAATTATCAAAAATGTCATCGATGCAAAGGTCCCCATGCATCTCATCGATGCAAGTTCAAGTCAGCAACTTGTTATAAGTGCAGTAAGCAAGGTCACATTGCCAAGGCCTGCTTTGCAAAGTCTTCGTCTGTTGCTAAATCTAGCCAGTCAAGACAGTACCGCAACCAAAGGCAGCACTATGTTAACTCTCACCAAGACTACCTAACCCAACCAATGAACCACTCTACCTGTGAAAATGCTCAAACTGATTCGCAGCCGGATTTCAACCTGTTCTCTGTGAAATCAATAAGTCATGCTCCCATCAATGTACTAGTTTATATCAACGGTAAGAGCATCAGCTTCCAACTTGACACTGGAGCATCTCTAACAGTCATCACAAAGAAGGACTTTGACGCTGTCACAGGAGGATCAGTGCCTCTACAACCATGTCACAAGTGTCTAACAACATACACTGGTGACAATGTTCCGGTAATAGGAGAGTGTATGGTTCATGTAAGTTATAATGGTCAAAGTGTTAAACTTCCTCTTCTTGTGGTCGAAGGAAATGGACCACCATTACTAGGTAGGAACTGGTTAGTTGATCTTAAGTTAAATTGGGAGAGTATATGTTCATTGAACAATGCAAGAGAATCTAGTCTTACTTCAATAGATAAAGTTATATCTGAAAATAAATGTGTTTTTGGTAATCCTGGATTACTAAATGATAGAACAGTGAAGTTAAGCATTAAAGACACAAATCCAAGATACTGCAAAGCTAGAGTTCCACCTTATGCAATGAGGAATAAAATTGAAAATGAGCTAAGTAGATTGGAATCTAATGGCATCATAAAGAAGGTAGACTATTCCGACTGGGCAACGCCCATTGTGCCAGTGTTAAAGAAGGATGGTTCTGTAAGAATTTGTGGAGACTATAAAGCTACACTGAATAAGCAAATAGAGCTAAATAGGTACCCTATTCCTAACATTGAGGAAATTTCTTTGAATTTGGCAGGAGGAGACAAATTCACTGAATTAGACTTTAGTCATGCTTACACTCAACTAGAACTGCGTCCAGATTCAAAAGTCTATACAACAATAAACACACATAAAGGACTCTACCAATATGAAAGACTATGTTTTGGTATATCATCCAGCCCTGGAATTTTCCAAGCTGTCATGGACAGTATTTTTAAGGATATTCCAAATGTTTGTGTGTACTTTGACAATGTGTACATAACTGGTAAGAATGACACTGAACATCTTAAAACACTTGATAAAGTCTTGAAAATAGTTGGTGAAAAAGGTTTAAAGATAAACAAAGATAAATGTCAATTCATGCTGACAGAAATTAGTTTTCTTGGTTATATATTAAGCAAGCAAGGTATCAGACCTCAACCAGAGAAAACAAAAGCCATTAAAGAAGCACCCAAACCTGAAAATACCCAACAACTAAGATCTTTTTTGGGCTTGATAAATTACTATGCAAAGTTCATAGGGAATCTGTCTGGTAAACTATCACCACTGTACAAGCTGCTACAGAAAAATGCAACTTGGCACTGGGGTAAACAACAAGAAGCTGCTTTTAATACAGCAAAAGAAGCTTTGTCTTCTGACACCTTACTAACTCACTATGACCCAGGGAAAAGACTTATATTAACATGTGATGCTTCACCTGATGATGTAGGAGCAGTCTTATCCCACATAGATGAAAAGGGTGACAGACCCATTGCTTTTGCCAGTAGATCTTTGAACCAGGCTGAGAAAAATTATTCTCAGTTAGATAGGGAAGGCTTAGGCATCATTTTTGGTGTTAAGAAATTTCATAAGTTTCTGTTTGGTAGGAAGTTCACCATCTTTACAGATCATAAACCATTGCTAGGTTTATTTGGAGAAAACAAAACCCTACCTGAGCATGCCTCACCAAGAATTCAAAGATGGGCTATCACACTAACTGCATACAATTATGAATTGAAATACAAACCTGGATCTGAGAATAGTGCAGATAGTCTTAGTCGATTACCTTTAAAAAACCAAAGCCTTAGCTATGTACCAGAAGATGTATTTGTTCTCTTCACTATCATGGATAACTCCAATATAAATGTGAATGATGTCAAGAGAGAAACACAAAAAGATGAGTGCTTAATAAAAGTATATGAGTACTGTAAGAATGGTTGGCCTGAAGAGTCTGTGAATGATGACTTAAGGCCATATAAAATAAGAAATAAAAACCTTTGTGAAGATAATATAAAAGATGGAGAAGATGTAGTCCATTATCAGTCAGAGTTGCCTAAACAAAGTATTTGTAACTTAATAAATGATTATGGTGATATGGCAATTTCAAATGCTTTTAAAAGAGAATACATTAGTAAGAAGGAATGTGATCATCAAACAACTTTGCTAACATCATTAGCACTTACAGAAACTAAAAGGGTAACATCAAAAGAAAAAAAGATTTTTGCCATTTAATACACCCACTTCAAATACTGGATCACAGTTGCAAAGTGATATGGTCCAGGATATTACTTTTAAACAGTATTTTTGGTTACTAAAAAGCACTATCAGATTACCTGAGAAAATTGATCAATCAAAGAAATCTATGTCAGTCAAGGATCTGAATAACAGCATAATACTTCCAGATGCCAATTCAAAAATAGTTCCATTAAATCATGACAAACATCCATTGAAAGAGAATTTGGTGTTAATGAGAATGTGTATCTAAGAAATTATGGGAGAAAGGAAAAATGGATACCAGGTCAAATTGTTCAATGTACAGGACCTGTGTCTTATAAAGTAAAAACAAATGATGGACTTATTGTCCGTAGACATGCAGACCAGTTAAAAATAACTTGTGCAGATAATAAGTGTGAATCTGTCAATCCCACCAAATCTGATCAGTTCACACCAACTCAGTTTGTTCCACAACCAAGTTCTGTTGATATGAGTGAACCAAGTAGTCTGGAGTCAGAAAATGTAAATTCTGGAATTAATGATTTTGATCCTAGACCTCCTGAGATAGAGAATCCAGATGGTCAGAATCTTGAGTCACCAAATCAAAAGCCACTGAGAAGGTCAAGCAGGACAATCAAAGTCCCAAATAAGTTAGACCTATGATTTTAAAGGTCAAAAGGACTTTGACATCATTGCTTTGTATTTTAATTATGTTGTAACATATTGTGCATTGTTTGTAAGGATGTAATCTACCATAGTGTTCATGTTACAATATAATTGGTGATTTTAGGATACTGCAAATTGTTCTATTGAGAGATATGTTGTGTTTACTAAGGGTAAAGGGATGTAATATAGTGAGACTTGTGAAGTCAAGGGAACTCACTCTTCTTGTATTAGTATTATATTTATACTGTTATCTTGAGTGATGTCCCTTACATGTATATATATCTTTGTCTCTCGTCACTTCCGCTCTCTCTCGTTATCATCATGTAGTTGGAGGCCAATAAACGTTTTATATACAACCACATGCTTCTATCGTCAATCCATTACAATTGAGAATTTGAATGCTAAATTAATTCGCCCGACCTCAGGAGTTATGAAGAGGTTCCTACGTGGACAATTTTTTTTCGATTTATAGCTCATATAAGGCGCCGGTCAGTCGAGGTTTGTTTTGACCCCCTCATCGTAGACCTTTAGGCCAACCGGCACCGGCCCCCGTGTTCTGTCGCCCCAAGGCAAAATCCTGCCTAATTTGAAGCGCCTGCAGCGCCGGGAAGTGCCCGATGTCGGGCACCCGACAACTTTGCTTCATATATTATAGAGATTAGCAAATTGCATAGATAAACAAAGATTTCAATAAAGTAATTAAGGCCTGAAATACTTCTAGATTTAGAATCCTAATAGAATTTTTTTTTAAGTTTAGCCCGAGCAAAATAAAAAAAATAGATTAACCAAGTTGACATGGTGCGTCTCGAACCTGCACCACCTGCGTGGGTTTAGGTTTAAGTACACTATCATCTCCGCTATATAGGCACCTTATAAAAACACGGAGAATGAAAGACGTATTTTAAAATCTTAACTTACGCGAATATGTCTATTCTTTCAAATTAATTTTTTTTATCCCAAATTAGCCAGTTCCAAACAAAGATTTTGTAAAAAAAAATTATGTCTTGAAATAGTTTAGTCCTAATATAGAAATTTATTTTTGGAATAGATTCTAGAGAAGTTAGATCTTAGCGTCTACGTCTCGATCTAGTTATTGCGTAGATTTGTAGATTTAGATCTAGTCTAGATCTTGAATCTCTAGATCTAGAATACAAATAAATAAAATAAATCACGGACGCTCAGTAGGGTGGAACACTGGGATGGGTGACATCACGTCAGAATAGAAACGCAGGAGTGAAAATTCGGACAGTTCTACTTGACCGATACGATTCACAGTTGGCACGTGGGTCAAGACATGAAGACAATGCAATCTGAAACTAAATTTGACTTCATTGGACGCCTAATTAATTTTTTTATTAATTAATTAAAATTTGGACCGAATCAATAGGCATGTCTATCCAACCACACCACACGCGTCATCACGTTCAATAGCTGTATAGTCGATTAAAATTAAAATAAACTTATTTTAAAGCATTCGCCTTTTCAGTGACGAGCAATGAAGCAACTGTTAGTTGTAATTTTATGTCCACCAACGTTAGAAAGGAAATGTAGGTCCTTCTACTTTGTAGTAGGAATTTGAACTAGAAGGACAATTGATCAGTCACGCATTTGTTAGCCTTGTGATCACGTGTGCTATGAGCTCTCCGTACTCTTCTCGATGTTTTCGCCAGTCTCAGTTTTCTCTCACAATTATCGATCTCCACTTGTTCCAACCTAGATTTTGCTGTCTGCAATCTTTACGGTTTGGAGTGTGGTACCATAATCATACCTTTGTCGCGTGCTAGGATTCAGTTTGTTAAAATACTACCTTAAAAATATTTTAGACCTCTCACATTAAAAAAAACACGGTTATAAGTTTTCTAAAAATGCTATAGTATTTTTTGAAATAATTCTACCAAGACCATGTTATTTACCACACTCACCCCGCGCCGCCATTAGCAACCAGTTGCAGATCATGGACATGCAAACAGTGCTACCAGTCCACAGCTCGAGCAGAGTACTGACACAGAAAAACACGTTTCACTTGAAATTACGTTAAAACAGTTAAATGAATTTGGCAAAAATGAGCTTTAAAAGTAAATTGTTGTAAGTTGCTGGATGACCAGGTAGGATTTGTTAACTGGTTATTCTAATATTATACTAATATATAGCCTACCACTAGTGTATAGACTAAATGCTCCAAATTGGTTATATTGTGTATGGCATATAACATAGAATAGTGCGTGCTTTAAAATTATTTTAATCTACACTTAATATGTATAGCACGGGCGTTCGATTTTATGATTCATAGCGTCAAAAAATTGCTAAAATAGAATTGTGTCATCTTGAGATTTTAGCGATCGTCATTTTATTGTGACCTTATCGCAATGATGTGATTTTTAAAAAAAAGTTGTTGCTTCCTCAAATGCATTGTTTGTAAATGTAATTCTATTTTTGTTTAAATTGATCAAGTTTGTCCCACAGACCTATTTAAAACTGACGTGTACAAATGAACCAGATCGCTAATCGAAAATTTTAATCAAGTATGTGGTTTGAACATACAAATTGATATTGGCTAACAAAAAAAAAAAAAAAAAAAAAAAAAAAAAAAAAAAAAAAAAAAAAAAAAAAAAAAACAACAAACAAGTTACTAACTGAAGCGCTAGGACTACTGTTAAATATGAAACAATATAAACCCTGGTATAACTTGTATAGGCTGGCCTATCCTTGACCGTAATTTGTCCCGGCCTCATTCCTGTTTACATGTTATTCTTTCGGAAGATTAGATGGCCTAGGCCTCATTCCATGTTTATATGTTCTTTCATCTGAAGATTAGATGGCCCAGGCCTCATTCTACGTCTACATGTTCTTTTATCTGAAGATTAGATGCTTCAAGTCTCATTCCATGTCTTAATGTTCTTCTATCTGAAGATTAGATGGTCATGTCTTCCCAGTGTTCTTTTTCGGCTACTAAAATCGGAAGGATATAGATCTACACCGGATTGGTGATTAGATAACTAGTCTAACCTCCAGCTATTGTTGTTGATAAATAACGCGACTGATTCTTTGTAGTTAAAAGTTACATTTCTCTCAACTTTAATGTTTGAATCAGAGACTTTTACTTGATTGCAATACATCTTGCAGGGATCCACTGTATTAAAAATAAATACATATCAGGGATTCTGACAAGTAAAATAGCCCAGGGTCAGAGCGGTTAGAGTGGAAGGTCGACATAGTTTGGGCGATATTTTAAGAAAACTGTTACCACTTTTTCCATGATTAAAATCCCCTAATAATTGAGTAATATACTTATTCTCTATAAAATTAGTAAATTGCACCGATTTGTATCAACCAACTTTTGCTTTCTCTTATTTCATTCTCCAGTTTGTCTGCTACACACCATTGCCCTCTACCTCCGAGCCATACATTGAAACAAACTTTGTAAGTTATATCTTGACAATGCAGTTGAATTGCTTATTGTTTTGGAATAATCAGAACTGATTGCTGATTATAAACTTAAACTTAACGCCTTAGTCGGAATCACCATCGATTTGTGGTTGACTATGTGCGAGCATCGGTAGCAAGATCCGACGTTATGAATACGCGGGACCTTATAGGGCCAACCAGGGACTGATTTTTTTCTTCTCTATTAGGATTAAAATTTTGACGATATAATATATCGTTTCCTCCTATATTAGCTCCCTTTTCGCAATCCTTGTCCACGATAATCATCAATGTTTAATTAAGCTAAATTTCTCTAGTGCTGCTAGTAATAATTCTCACAATCTTTTGCCCGTTGTGTCTTCAACCATGCGGCGTCAAAACGGCCAGTGACAAAACGGCCCAGTCAAAACGGCCCCAACATAAGAGGTGAACGAAAAACAAGTTAATTAAAAAGTCTAGTGACAATTTTAGCGCAATTTCCTTATGTTATCTAAAAATAGCTCTGTCGTAGCGTAAATCAAGAGCAGGGTTAGTAAAACCATTGGTTAAAATACATGTTTTATTTACAATAGAGTTACATGACTAAAAAACATTGCGCGCCTAGCTACTGAACGTGATGACGAAGCCATAGAACGTGATGGTGCAGCTATTGAACGTGATGACGCGTGTGGTGTGGTTGGAAAAAATGCCTACTAATTCGGTCCAAATTTTAATTAATTCAAAAATTTTGTTGTGACCGAACGAAAGGATATTTTTGAAAACTTTCTTCGGCAATATTGTTCTAAATTATGGCAGGAATCGATTGGTACATGTTTCAAGTCGCTAAGTGGTCTGGTTGCCGAGATATGGGCTAAAAACTGCTTTTTTTCGAGGTTTTTTGGCTTTTCCGGGAAATCCATGAAAGAAACCCAGAATTTTTATAGCCTATGTTCATCCTCGTAACTTGCTTAACATAATTGCTTTTGGAACTAGTCATCGATATTGCTTCGTTGAGGAGGAGATACGACTTAAAGCTGCGGACACACATCCATCCATTCATACATTCATACATTCATACATCCAGAAATGACGGGTTAATAAACGCAATTCTCCAGAATGGAAATTGCGCTAAAAAGTCACAGGAAAAAAAAACAACCCAGAATAGGTCACAGTTTTTGCGAGGAAAAAAAGTCCCAGAAAAAAAGTCACAAAAATCTTTTAATAAATATTTTGATTTTATATGTTGAGACTTGTAAAATTTTGGGTGCTTATTTTTTTGTAGCATATTTATAAACTTTTAAAGAATTGCGGTTTATAACACTAATAAGTAAAAATACTATAACGTAATTTACACAGCAACCTCTAGAAGCTCTAGAAGTGTTAATTATAAACGAAATTTAGGCAAACCATTGTGTTTTGCATGTTTTGTTTTCCTTGGTTGGCTTCTCATTATTCGGCCTTGTCCGTTCATTTTGTGTGTTGTTGACGTTTTGCGTCAATGACAGCCTTTGTACCGTGTCGGCTTTCTCATTTGATCCTATCCTTTGTTATGTAATGAGCATGAGAAATGTGGGCAGTACAGGTGGTTGACTAATTGTTACAATGAGTTGAGAACAGCAGGTCACATTAACTACGTCTTTATGTCATTTCGCGGTAATTTAAAGTTAGTATTTAACAAAACTAGAGAAGGTTGGAATATTTTATTAAATTCTATTAAATATTCTATGTATGAAGAAATTATAATGTAAATACTTCACACAAAATATTTACGTGTGTTATAAATATCAAAAGGGCCCCTGTCAGTACGGTTTCCTTTGAGACTAAATATCCCGGCGAAACGGCCTCATTGAATATGACACCTGCAGTGTTTCTTCCAGACTTTTTTCTCCGGGGGGGGGGGGGGGGGGGGGCACTTGAAATTTTCATACATTTAAACTTCTGTGCTCGCTTTTAAGCAACTGATCTTTACTGCTGTAAATTAAAAACGTTTTCAAAATTTAAAAACTGGTCGAATTTAGCTGTTAAAGGCTCGATTTGTTTGTGAATTGTGGTTGGTTCATGAACAAAATTTCATTCATGCATTTAAAAGATGTTATAGTGATAGTGGAGGTAGGTCAAAATAGTTACTTTTACACAAATAGAGGTAATACGATTCATTTTTCGGGAGCCAATATGTCGGGAGCCAATATGCCGGGAGACGACATGTCCTGAGCTCATTTGTCGGGCGTGTGAATGTCAATTTGTCGGGAGCCAAAAAGTCGGGCCCTTTTGACCGGGCTATTTTGACTGGGTCGTTTTGTCGGGAGTCGATTTGACGGGGTCATATTGACGGGGCCATTTTGTCCCGGACCGTTTTGACGGTGCACCGTCTTCAGCGATAAGGAAAATCTCTGAAATGTTCAACTTTAAAGTCACAGTACAAAGCGCACAGTAGCGATAGCGGTTCTTTATTACTGTAGTATCGAGGTCATACATATCCGACCATTTAGAGGCGTAGCGGGGGGGGGGGGGGGGGGACACACGGGGGACGGGGGTGCGGATCGCACTGGGTGGCACCATTTAGGGAGTGACAACATGACAAAAATAACTGTATATATTTTATATATATATATAATGATTATTCCAGTTAAATAAATGATTAATTAGATTTAAAAAGTCCACCGAAGTGGATTGGGAATGAAACCACATTGGAAATGTACATATCATACGGCCTACGTGTATGTAAGTGTGTGTGTGTAGTGTGTGGAGTAGTGTGGTTGACACCAGTAGAACAATAGTTGTACTTTTGATGGTGCTTGAATAGTTGATTTGTGATCTGTGTAATGGGTTATTTTTCTATTCCTATTAAATGTTATGTGATATGTGGGTAAAATCAATATATATTAATTCGCTGATTTTTGTCTTTGTAATAAATATTTTTCAATGTGTAATAAGTTAAATAAAAACATTTTGTTTTTCAATTACTATTTAAAAGTGCATGTTACAAAATAACACAATTTTTTAAATGTATTAATCCATTGTAAATAAATTAAGTTAAAAAAACTTCAGAGACGAAAATGAATGATGGAAACCATAAGCAATAAAAAGCGAGAGCATCATATAAATAAATCTTGTTAGCTTGCCTAATTGACACAATATGTAATGTTGACTCTTTTCGTCAGATAAACTTTTTAAACAATTAATTCACGCCTTTAATCAATTCGATCAATAAATGTTGTATAGGCTATATCGTAATGGAATATGTTAAATTATAATAATTTGATTACAAATTTAGTATACCCATACGATATAAAGAGCTTTTAACAGATTTAAACGTTGTAAAAAAGTATTCGGTCGCTATGTTACTCATGTTCCTATAAATTAAAAATAAAAGGAGGACGAAGTTCAGCCCAAAGAGCGTAGCTTTAAAAGAAATTAAATATATCGAGGAAGAAAGATAGTTAAATACATATACACATGCGTATACTAAGACCTATAAATGTATCATGCATATATATATATATATATACTAGCCGTCCCGGCCAGGCCCTGCTCTGGCTTATGTGAAAAACCTTTCTGTTAAAGACCATTACCTGTGTGTTTAGTAATCATCATAAACCCGGCATTGCCCACCCAAACCACAACCAACCAAAACCATAAAACGCAAACATAACGCTAACACAATTACAAATACAAACGAAAACAAAAACCTAACAACAAACCCAACCACAACCACCAATACAAACACAAAGAAAAAACAAACAAAAAAGCAAACTAAAACAAAAACCTAACAACAAACCCAACCACAAACACCAATACGAACACAAAGAAAAAAAAACGAAAAAGCAAACGAAAACAACCCAAATCCAAACGCAAAACCAACCACAAACACAAACCCAAAGAAAAAAACACAAACGAAACAGCAAACGAAAACAAACCAAATCCAAACGCAAAACCAACCACAAACACAAACCCAAAGAAAAAAACACAAACGAAAACTAAAAAAGAAAGAACAAAAACGAACCAAATCAAAACGCAACCACTAACGCTAACCCAATCTAAACACAAAGAAAACACTAACGCGAATGTAAACGCAAAGTGCTCACAGTCTACCCCGGGGCGGAATCGCATGCTTCAGCTTAATAAACGACTATAGTACCCCAACTTATTCATAGTCTTTTGCACTCACTTAAACGAACGTAGGCGCCAAACCGAACACGGGAGGCCCGGGGCCCCAAATAGCACCCTGTCTGGGCGACAGAGGACGACCGGATTCGATTCACTTAAAGACCATAGTAACATTTCTTATCCATACTCTATCGCACTGTTTAAAGCGAAATTATGCACCAGGGCGCCAAATTGAATCCTGGTGGGGCGCCGGCGGACGCGCCTGTTTCAATTTAATGAACAATTATAATACTCCAAGCTTATCCGTAAAATACCTACAACATTTGCACTTGACCAATCCCCGCTAATTATGTAATTTTTTTTCCCAACACCAAAACACAGTAATAAAAAGTAAATTCTTTTCCACTAATGCAATGGTTTATAAAGGGAAGTAATTGTGTTTTCCTAATTTATCAAAGGGAAGTAAGTGATAAAGGACTAAATATAAACAATTTTCAGACGTAATTAGAGTTTTTGTAAAAGATGATATTTTTTAAAAATCGTGTTTAATGAACATGCGACAATTATTACTATCAGTTTGAAAAATGAAAATTATTTCCCAACACTTTCAATATATATATATATATATATATATATATATATATATATATATATATATATATATATATATATATATATATATATATATGCCTACTGATGACAGCTTTGTTTCAAAACTACCAAATTAAAAAAAAATGTATATTCTTTTTTTTCTCTTCCAAATCATCTTAAGCCTTAGACATTATGTCCGCAACAACCGAACCATGCTCCACGGAAACATTAGCGTCGCAAGTGAGTGTATTTATTTCTAATAAAACTTCCTCGGACGACAGATCAAGATCCATTACGTCACTGAACTGCTCAAATTGTGACAGGAACATTGCTACGCAGCCCTTAACCGGTGGTGAAAATGTTGTACGGAACTACCATACTTCACCTCACTACATGCCCCTAGCACTTATCGCCATGATTTTGAATCCGCTTCTTGGCATTCCCGCGTCAGTCTGTAGCTGTATTTCTAGTCGATACAGAAAATCTGGTGACTCCATCCGGTCGTCTAAGTACAGCGAGCTAGCATTGTGGCTCAGCATAATCGCTATTGCATCTTCGTTAGTCATCATCATCTTCGTCTTGGTGTACGCATTTATCATTACACCCAACATTATACTCAATATTAATGGTGATGTCAACGAAAGCTTTGTGCTAGCGGACGAAGTGTCGTATGCGACAAGCTCACCGTGAGCATTTAATTTGATTAATTTTGTAAACGGCAACTTTTATTGTTAAAAACATTGTTTTGATTCTTAAAAAAGAAAAGGAAAATGATATCCAGTAATAGAATCTAAGAGCCACAGGAGTCTACAATTTCACCAATAAGGAAATTCCATTATTTCTGAATTTTCACACTGTAAAATTAAAATTCAGACTATTAAAGTTTCAGTGTTTTGTGTGATTTTGAAAACCTGTTTTTGTATCATAAATTCTACATATAAAAAATTATTGTGTAATAAACAAACGTAGGGGTGTGCCTATGCATAATAATTTTAAAACACTATTATTAAATTATATACTATACAGATGTACATTCCACTGTTAAATTGAGTGTAACAATTTTCTTGGTAAAATTAAATAAAAAATTTTCTTGGTAAAATTTAATATAAAAATTTTCTTGGTAAAATTTAATGTAACAATTTTCTTGGTAAAATTTAATGTAAAATTGTTGTTTCCAAAAAGGAAAAAAAACAACTAAATAAAAAATGTAGCAAACTACACAAGACCAACAACTGCTTCCTTGACAAAATGTATAATGGTATATTTAAGATATTACCGTTATAAAAACATTTATTAATATTATTTGCATTTAGTATGCAACCTACAACAAAGATTCATGCAAATTAAAAGTGTTAACATGTTTTCAGTTGTGAAATTGAGCTTATCAAAAATAAACATAAAAGTCAAAAACCAGAAAATAGAACTAATTTGATAATTTTCACAAAGTGTTTGGTCAATAAAATGTTCAAGTATTAGGCAAATAACAATCAACTTGTTTTTCTTAAAACATGATAATACAAGTATAAACTGTTAACATTTGACAATAGTATATATTTGCATATAATATACTGACATTTTTTTCTACAATTTTGGATAATTTATATGTATATTATACGGGTATATTATGAGCATAATATCACATCTACTGGTTGGTAGTTGTTTAAAATACTGGACTCCAATTTACAAAGTAAAAGGTTCAACTAAATAAAGGTTGGCAAATGTTTTATGGAGCCTTTTTTACAATTGATGTAATGACCTAAGACTTTAAAAAACAAATACAACAAAACATGTTAAACAATATCATAAAATATTAGTTTGAACAACTAATAAGAAGGCTAATTACATCAAATGAAAGTACAGTGGGTTTTATAGTAATAGGGTAGTTAACTGTCATTACACACAGCCACTATACATACTTTAAGAATAGAAGTTATGTAGGCTGCTTTTCCATGAAATTGTGTATTGTCAAATTTATGTTTTATTTGCTACTGTAAACAAAGGTGTACAAACATTAACAAATTTATTTAAAAAAAGCATTAATACTATACTTGGATCACAGATAGTGTACATTTAACAAATTTTCAATTATTTACTGTCATATTTTATTAAACAGTGAATGGATGCCATTCATTAACTATTTGTATTTATAAATAGCTTCAAATACAAGCTGTTATGAAAAGTGTTCTTCATTAGCAGCCAGTTTCATAGCCTGATAGTGTTCTTGGACTGTATCAAAATTGACTGTTGAGCCAGTAATACTTGGGGCACTCTCACTCCCAACAAGTGAAGTTGCCCTCTCTAGAGAAGGTTTGCTTCTAAAAGTAAAAGGAATATTTTTTTATAGTTTTAATGAGTTATTCTGCAATTCGAATTGAAAGCTTTACATGCATTAAAAATGCGAGTGCAGCATTTTTTCTTATTGTGAGATAAAAGTTTCATGGCATATCAATATCACTAATCAATAGGAATGTATTAGAATGCTCCAACACCATTTTCTGACAAATTACTACTTTATGAAAATCTGAGATAAAGAAGCAGAATCTAAGATGCATCAAAGCCTACAGAAGAAAGCATTTGCACAAAATTTAAAAAAAATTTAACATAAGAAAAGAAAAAAGTGAAAATTGATCTTGGTTTTGTACATAAATATATTTTAGAGAGAAAAACAAATATGTGAACAAATGCTTTAGTTTAAGAAACAAGATAGATCTAATATATTATATGGTTCATTCTTATCACCGCACAATTTTGTGTACATGATTTCTTAATAAATTCTAACTAAATTTAGTCGAACATAACTTTTCCTCTGGGGTCAGTGGCAGAATATTTACTTGTTTACTAAGTTATACATTTTATAAGCCAACTCGAAAATTTCACATTTTTGGAAACAAAAGATGTGCACATTTGCTACTCACATATTTGACAAGCATGCTTTAGCCTTATTGATCCTTTTTTTTATAGCCTTAGAGGTGGTCAACTCTTCTGGCAAACATCCCTCAAGTGTTCGAAGATTTAGGTCTAAATCAGGTTGTGTCTAGTAAAAAAGGTTAACAGTAAAGATATGATTAATGATAATAATGACTAAAATTGTTTTAATGGGACTGGAAAGTTAGTTATGTTCCTTCAAAAATTATTTTTTCATAAATATTATTTGTAAATATTTGTAAACATTATAAGATCAACTAAATAAAATTCCCTAATCATTAAAAATATATTTAATTATTTCTAAATTAGCAATGAAGGGATCCGAAATGAAAGTTTTAAGTAGTAATGCAACAACACAGTATAAAAATAAAAGTGAAACTAAAGTTTTGGTGACATTCTTTGATATTTATGATTTTATATGCCTAACATACTAGGAAATATTAATATGATGTGCATTTGTGCAATAGTAGATACACAGATATGCTAGTATAAACTACTAGTGAAAGATGGTCTTTGTTTACTTACTAAAATAACTTCTACTAATTTGCTTTTGTTGAGTCTGCATGCAGTATGAAGTATTGTTTCCCCTCTTTTATCCTGCATGTTCAGTGCAGCAAGATCAGCATTAAGAAGCATGATCAAGATATTTGTAGCATCTGTATGTCTAACTGCCTGATGTAATGCAGTAGTGCCATCAATCAAATTTACAGCACAAACATGACTGACAAGATTGTCTGTAAGGAAAGAAGGGATTTATTTTTGAAATACAGCATTTATATAAACCAAGGATGTTCTTTCTATCTAGCTTTAATAAAATTCCAATTACAAGGAGTTACAGAAAGAAAACAAACTATACAATAGTGGTTAATTAAATAATATCAGACAGTTGAAATGGATTATTTGTTGTGTGGGTGAAAATCTATGTGATTTTCTTACCATGATAAATTGATTGGCCTTTAGGTTTAGTCGAATCATGAAGTATTTTGTTTAAACCTTTTTGATAAAAAAGATCTACACTTGTTGTCAAGCTGTTAGTTAATTCTTGTTGGCTAAGGGATAATTTAAAAGAAAACATTTTTTAACAAGTTTTATGTAAGAAATTTAAAAAAAATGAAATATAACAATACTCTTTTATGTGTGAAGATAAATACTTGGAAAGAAATTTAAAATAAAAATTATTCTAATTAGAATCGTTGGATTTAACAATGCTATTTAAACCTGATTTAAAAATAAAAATGTATTAACCTTCAAAATTTTAAACTGCGAATATAATAAAATCTAAAAAATGTGAAATTAAAATGAATGGTCTCGTGTTGAAAAAAGTCTAATAACGTTACCAGCTATAATTTACAACAGTAGTTTAATCAGACTATAGTAATCTATGATGTAAGTGCAAACACCTTTCAGATTATTTGTTATTCCAAAAATAAAAAAAATAAAAATAGATACAATGTATCTTAATATATTAAAATAGACCCAATGTTTACAAGTTTGTATGTTTATATATTTATTTGTCACTTTCAAGAGATCAGAAAATCTGCAATATACAAAATACTATGTGCCAAAACATGTTCTGTTTAAAGTGAATGTATCAAGTAAGCTTTATTTAATTTATAAAATTAAGAGACATTCAAATATAAAAACACCCATTTAATTATGCAAATGCAGCTTAATGACTAAAGTGTCCATGACAACCTTTTTTTTGCATGGGCTAAAAATATTACTCTAAATATATATATATATATATATATATATATATATATATATATATATATATATATATATATATATATATATATATATATTCATACAGGTGTAGAACTCTTTAAAATACGTATTTATGTAGAGAAAATATTCTTTTTATCAAAATATGCTAAGCACTCTACTGATTTAACTTAAATAAATGATATATTCATTTGTAAAAGATACACAACTGGGGGGGGGGGGGGGGTGAGTATACAATTAAAATCTTTCAGTGACCCAGAATTTAGATTCATTTTTTAAGCCCAACTAGGTTAAAGTGTATTAATGACAAAATGGAAACCATCTCACTTGGTGGCACTTGTTGAATCCAAACTGTTTATAAAAGAGCTATTACTGGCTTGTAAGTCATCTGCAAGATTTAAAGAACATTTCTTAAATGTTAAAAGTATAAACATCTTTATAAACATAAAATTATTAAAAATCTACTTACTACTTTAACTTACCATCTTTACTTAGATCCCTAGAAGACAAAGGCACCAAGACACCTGAATCTGTGTCGCTATCACTGTTATTTAAAAAAAAATTAAAAATTCAAACATTTAATTAAATACTAGACCAGTTAATCAGTGGCTTAGCTAGGATTTTTGGGCCCCTATGCAAAAATAATCAATGGGCCCCTTTGTCAATCTGTAAAATGTGTATGTTATACGTCCTATCTGTGTATTTATACAGTGTTATTATGCAGTACCCCGTAACGTAAAACACCTTTGATTATATATCACCTTTATGTTAAAGCAAACTAACAAATTAATATTAAAGTAACCTAACACAGTAGCTTCACAAGGCAGGGGTGGAGGTGTCACAATTTAGGCATGACACCATGATGAAAACTCGTAAAATTTACTGTCAAAACTATGTTTTATACAGTTAAAATACTAAGGAGAGTGGGCAACACTCCACCAGAAATGCAAAATTCTTGGAGGGGGTGGGGTGGCACTCACGAAATGCTCAGGGTGATATCAAACCTTGTGATGCCACTAACCAAACACACATTTTTTAAAGTTGCTGATGATTTATTTCGATTTATTTTCTTTCTTTCAAGTTTGCAATGATTAATATTTTCCTTGAGGTTTATTTTAGCTGCTTTTGTATGTTCAATACTAAGAATGGCTAAGTTACTGACCCAAAGGGCATATCTACAATTTGTTTCATGACATCATCATAATGGAGAGACTCTGGGCGCCCAACAGTATAGGCTACTAGTGTCGAGGCGCTGGAGGACACCCCTTTTTTTATTTAGTCATCCATTATAGTAGCTCTCCGTATCCCTATGGCATGGCGCTCATTAAAACAAGTATATGTGCCGTAGTGCTCACAGGGCACCCGGGGCGCTGGCTGGCGCGCCTGTGTAGTTTGGCCATTGAATAAAGCAGTAACCCTGACCCCTTGTGCAGGACGCCCAATCCACTTAAGGAAGCAACTGGGAAACTCTAGGTAACAAATTGAACTGCCTTACTGCCAGGGCGCTGCCTTCCGAACAAAATAAAGACAACATTAATTGCAGAAAACTTTACAAGAGTCAGAGTTTCTTTCTGGCTTCTCATTTAGGGGGAGGCACTGCTCCTTGTGTGTGGGGTTGTGAAGGAAATTTCACAGTCAGTTGAAGTATGTTTGAAGTATTCTAAACTACTTCCCAATGTTTCATGGCGATTGGTTCAGTTTTGTGTTAATGCATAAAGGACAGGCAGACAGAAAACAAAAATCTTTTAGTAGCTTCATATTATTAAAGATGAATTAGATCAGCAAAACTTTTTTTTTATTAAGATTAAAACTAGTAGAAAAACATTGACAAATGTTGGACAAAAATCTTTTAGTAGCTTCATATTATTAAAGATGAATTAGATCAACAAAACTTTTTTTTTTATTAAGATTAAAACTAGTAGAAAAACATTGACAAATGTTGGACTTAGCTTGTTGTGAAAACACTACCCACAACTGTTTTTAAAAAAAAAAGGCTCAATTGTAATTGGTGGATGGATGGAATGATGGTGAGGACAGACAGTTGAGAGAGGGAGAGGGGGGGGGGGGCAGTGTTTCTTCCATACTTTTTTCTCCGGTGGGCACTTGATATTGATATAGTGCTATTAATACCTATGAGCCCTATACCCCCCCCCCCCACTGAATGCCACTACCTCTACAGTTAGAAAGGTCTGGGGGGGGGGGCTTTTTGGAACTTTTGATTTTTTTCTACAGTTGAAAAGAAACTGGATTTCCATTTTCTTTTAAATAATTTTTTATAAAATAAATATTAAAATTCCAATGAACAAGTTATAATTTTCTTTAACTTTAAAGAGGGAAAACTGCCCCTATTTTCCTTGGGCCCCTATGCCTTGCTTATGCTAACTTTATGATAGCTACGTCACTGCAGTTAATGTAATCACAGGAAATGATGCTAGACCAATTTTTTAAATCTAAACATGAGAAATAATGCTGAGACAAAAAAATTAGAGTCAAGGTTTTACCTCTCTGATTCATACTGTGAGACCTCTGGGTAAACAGCTGATTCTAACAAAAATTTTAGAACAGGGATGTTACCACAAGCAGCAGCCACCATCAATGGAGTGTTGCTTTCTTTACTGCGTAAATTATGATCAAACCTAGGCTACAATACGTTGACATTGGTCAGTAATAAATCAATTTGATACAAAAAACAAAACAGTATCATAACCCTACACACAATCTATGCTCTTTTGTGCTAAAAGCTTTTAAAAAATTTTACCAGCCAAATTTGTTTCAGCATTTCTAAGCCTTTCTTGTCTTGGATACATTTGATGATTTGCTTTGTATGCTGCTGTCTATGTGACTCAATAATAATGCGGACACCTTCAAACTGTTGGCATGATACTAGATTGCCTTCATTGTCCAGCATTGCTGATGTGGCCCCATAGGACAAAAGTAACTCCACAATTTTACTAAAACCTAAATTATCAATCACAACATTTTTAAAATTTTGTACAAAATGGTTTAAATATTTCAAGAGAAGTTATAGAAATAAAAATGACCACATTTGAAATCATTTAATTTCAAACCAAAAACCAATCTACCAGCATGTACATAAAAATAAATAATCTAACCTCTCTCAGCTGCAAGTTGTAATGCTGTTCTATTGTCTCTGTCCATAGCATTAATATCTAAAAGTCTTTCTTTGTGTGTACGCATTGTTTTGGAAAATGAGCTATATTTTTCTTGCACTTTAGATACATCTCTATGGCCTACTTTTAAGGACGTAAATTTCTTATGAGAATTTTTACAGTATTGAAGAAGGTAAGAAACAATTGCAAAGTGTCCCATTTTTGCTGCCACATGCAATGCAGTTGCTCCTGTTGTTGGATGTCTCTGGCGAATATCACCCCCTTTCTATAAAAAAAATAAATAAATGAGTTTCTCTCAGGATTTTTTTTTTCATTTCTGGAAAACATGATAATTATTAACTACAGCATGTTCTGCAAGCCTTGAAATTCTTACAAGTAGAGCATATACTGTGAGGGTTTATGTATTAATTAATATATACAAAACATTATACGTTGTTTTTTTCAATTTGTAAAGATATTAAAATTGAAGAATATTAACAAGCTGGAGAATTTTGATTAATCAATACTGAAACAGATTATGATTTAGCTTCTGCCCCCAATTTTAAAAAAAATGTACCTCAAACAAGAGATTTAACACTTCTAAATTTCCATTTTCAACTGCCAAATAAGTGGGCCAATTTCCTGTTGCACTCTGCAAGATAAAAAAAAAACATAATAAGCTTTTATGTAACAATGCAACAAAAAGTAGAAAATAAATGATTTTCTTTAAATATAATAATACACTACTATTTAAATAACTATAAAGAAAAGCGTAGGTCACTTTATTATCTATTGGATAACTTTACTAATATTTAGGAAGAGACCCACGCTTTTTTAAAAAGCTATTTAAATAGTAGTGTGTCGTTTATTTTCTACTTTTCAGTGCATTATGACATAAAAGCTTATAGATTAAAATGTTTTTTATGAATTTTTCTTTCAGTACTTTAATTTTTAAAATTTACAATAGAGTTGAATGACTAAAAACCATTGCGCACCTAATGAACATGATTACGATCATAAAATAATGAGGAATAATTGGATAAGATAGCCTTCTAATTTGGGCACTATTTTAATTAATTCATAAAAAATTAATTAGACATCCAATTAAGTTAGATTTTATGTCAGTTAGAAGTGCCTGAAATTTGTGCTAGCGTTTCGATCTATGACAACAGACAGTCGACAGACAGAGGAAGCAAGTTAAATAAAAACTTGTAAAAATAGAATTATTTTAATTCAAACTTTGAAAGAACGTTTGAATGAAAAAAATAAAGGTTGTTAAATCCTAACTGGCTTTTCTGTTATATTTTCTCAGCAAGTAGTATTTTGAATATGAATAATTGTATAAGAAAACTGACCTTAGGGTTTATATTATCCCCTTCTTCAAGAAGTTTAAAAAGCTCTTCTGCATCTCCATTTATAGCACAGGACAGCAATTTAGGTGTCACTATTTCCTTTTGTCGTCTGTAATAGTTTGCTATATTTCAGTATAGAATATGTCTGCAAGAATTTTCTTAAAAGTAATCTCATCTTGCTTTTAATTAGTGTAGGTAATGTTTTTTATTCAGCCATAAGTAGAAGATAAATGTGCTTACTTTTCCCAGGCCTTTTTAAGTTTTTTTTGAATAGATGTTTGCTTGCACAAGCTTATTGCTTTAAACAAGCCCTAAAAATAACAACATAGAAGCTTTTAAAAATTTTGAAAAAAGTAACTTCGCTTAATGGTATTATGCTGCTACACAAATCAAGCAGAATCTGTACAGCTCATTTATTAAAATCAGTTAAAAACTTTTTGTAACTTCTGAGTATTAGTATTTTAAAAAAAACAACTGCCTATACATATTATTTTGCTAAAATTGAATACAATCTTTAAATAAGCATTTTCCTAAAAACAATTTAGGGCTACTAAAAATTTGTAGTTACTAAAATCAAATATACCACATAAGTTGAGGGAAAATAATCCAATATAATATCAATTGTGTGATGGTGATTATTGAGAACAGCATGATGAAGAGGTAGGTACCCTGACATATCTGCAATCAGCGAGCAGGCTTTGTGTCTTAAAAATTTGAAATAAATTAATGTAGTTTTTCCAGATAATCATTTCTATTTTATTAGCTAGACATATGATTTAAAATCTGAGTCATTTACCTCAGCAAAACACTGACAGCTTCTTTATTTCCCAAGCTGGCAGCTATAGACAGAGCTGTCATTCCAGTTTTACTGTGCTGAGCATTTATTGTTGTACTACTAACTTCTAATAAACAATGGAGCACTTGATATCTTATGTGAAAGAGAGTGAATTAAAAGTCCTAACAGTGAAAAATGTTAAAATAAACATTAGATAAAGAAAAAAAAAATGTAAAAAGGACTTCTACTACAAGTTCAGCAGGAACATGTCAGAACTCTAAATAATTTTCTATAAACTATTTTTAACTTTAACTTTTTGAATCCCTTTTTAAGTCAAAACAAATTACTGGATATCACCATCCAGTATAGGTTACATTTCATACATAACAACATTTATAAGAATGTAATAAAATTTCTAGCTATCGGGATAAAGTAGGCTAACCTATTATAAATAGCTGCTGTCATAATCAGTGTGTAGCCATCAGAATCAACAACAGAGAGATCTGAGGGCAGAAGCTGGCTAGAGACAAGCTCATCCTAAATGGTTTGAAACAATACAAGATCTTTTAATCACATTATTTACAGGTTCATTTGAAACAATAGTACAGTGACCCAAGGCAATTACACAGCATACTTTTTTTTTAAAATAGTTAAAAAAATCTTTCATTACTACAACAATCAGAGGCGTAGCGATGGGGGGGCAGGGGGTTACATTTGTCCCCGAGTGCCGGCCCTAGGGGGCGCCAAAATGGGTTGTAAAAATAAATAAAAAGTCATTTTAGCTGAATTTTTTGAGGGGGGGTGCAAATTGAAAATTTGCTCGGGGGGGGGGGGGGGGGGGGAAAGGAGGGCGCCAAATTGAAATTTTGTCCCTGGGAAGGGTCACTACGCCTCTGACAACAATACCTTATAAGGTGTATACTTGAACATGATACATTTATAGGGTGGTAAAACAGTACAGAGATTATTCATAAAACAAAAAACAGTTCATAGATATTTAACTTTTATTTCAAAAATAAGAAAGGTGGGGCTATTTCACACCTGAAAAGGAATAAATTAAAAAAAAAAAAAACTTCACAATTAGATGAACATAAGAAGGAATTAAAAGTTTAATTAAAATACATTTTAAAAATATCGGCTTAAAATGTGCATAGTTTTTTAAGTAGCTGTTTAGATGCACTTTAGATTTTAAATTTATATTTAAAAACTTAAGACTCAAAATGATGGTATTAAAAAAAGAACCTTTTTGATCAGCTGACTAAGCATTTCCATCCGATGGTTCCTGTTAGAAGAAATGACTTCACTGCAATCATCTGTAGCAACAATGCAACTTGGCATATCATCGGGTCTTAGGCCTTCATGATCTTCTATATTCACATCTGCACCTCGGCGTATGAGACACCTACAAGTTAATGACAAATAGATCTTACCATAAAGTTCTCTGGCAAAGTTTCAAAATTAGAAAGCAAACTTTTTTTTGTGAAAATATGAGAACAGATAAGTTTGAAAATCTTCATTGATAATTCATATTTGTTTCAAGATATTAGTAGATAAGGCATGTTCTAAGTTCTGCTGAAAGTTATGAGCCATTGAATGTTTAAATATTGGTCCTGTGATTGCAAAGTATCAAAAAAGCCCAACACATCACTTACTCAACACATTTTCTATGATTTCCCTCAGCAGCAAAATGTAGTGCACTACTTCCTGACAATGAATTTCGTTTATTTGGGTCAGCTCCAAATAAACAGATTAAAACCTGAAACAATAATTTAATACACATGAATAGACATGAAAAGTTGGTTCCAAATGGGTCCAAATTTGTGTGCCAGAAAGCATATTTTTCAACAAAAATTTTACATTTGTGTAATAAGTACAAAATTACTTCCAGTCTCATTAAGGCTAGAAATAATCAAAGAAATAATTACTAGTAATATGATAGTAATTTAACAAACACTTTTATTTTTAATTTGGATTATTAGAGTGAGGGTGTTGTGGTGGTTGGGAATGTTATATTATTTAATACGAGCCGACCCGCAGCGTATCATATGCCGCTATGTCGTTTTATTTTTTACTTTTCAGTAATTCATAATTTGTGAATTCGACAGTACCAATGCTGCCACTGAAAATATTTGCTTTAAAACACTAACCCCCCCCCCCCCCCCCCCCTTTCCCCTAACCCTGACCCAACACCCCCCCCCCCCCCCCCCCCCTGTGAAAGCAGCCTCCTTTTAGTTATTTCTTAGTTACCTCCTGTAAGTTTAAAATCGAACTAAATTATCTGCCCCTAATAGAAACCCGACTCTACGGCTCTACGATTTGTAAACATTTAGCTTTGTAAACATTTAGCGTGACCACAGCTCACCAGACAATGTGGGGGTGGGGTGGGGGTGGTAGTGATAGTGATAGAGAGAAAGAGAGGGGACTGCAAGGAGGCGCTTGCAGCTTGTTTTCTAACGGCTCCCAGAAGAGAATTATATATATTATATATAGATAACAACAATACTACGCTATACACCATAGAACACTATTGTGTATTTTTATCATGGAAAACAATTGTTCTGACTTTTATTGTTTTACTCTCCCTGGTCATTGAGTGTAATGGATTGTTCCCAAATGGCTTTAATTTTTACAAATTTAACTATATATTATCTGCCATATTTAAAAAAAGATTTCTTTAAAAATTCAGTATGATTACATAGACTTTTCATGCATATTACATTAATAACCAATAAAATTACAGTCAAGTCCTTTTTTACTTTCTCGTAAATACGAAGTATAGAGAAAGTATTGTAATCGTGCACAAAAATCACTTGAAATTTTAACAATTTTCACCGTATCACACCTCAGTCCTTCATCACATCCGAAGTATAGAGGACTTATTTTAATCGGGAAAAAATTATCAAACCAGATGTATCAAAATTAAGAGGTTTTATGCGCAATCCAGTCTGAAAAACTGGGCTTTGCAATTCTGTCCGTATGTCTGTGTGTCTGTCTGTCTGTCTGTCTGTGTGTAAACACGATAACTTGAGTACCGTTAGAGCTAGGTTGATGAAATTTCATATATAAGTATTTTATCAAAATCGTAGATCCGTATCAACTTTTGAGCGATTTCCGATAACCGGAAGTGGTACTTTTTCTACTTTGAATTTTTTAAAAGCCTATAACTTGAGTACTATTTCAGATAGATAAATGAAATTTCACGTGTAAGTAAAAGATCTAATTCTCTACCTTCTGTTAAATTTTGAGTAATTTCCATTGACAGGAAGTAGTAATTTACGCTACTTCCGATTTCTCAAAAAACTAATGTAAATTTTTAAAGTACTAATAATATTGCGCACTATTATGCACTTTTTTTATTTAGCGTTCACTTGGTGTGCAATTCTTTTGTCTACGAGATTTTATTCTATTTTTAAAACTTTAGTATTTAAAATGGATTAAAAATCATGTTTAAAGCCCGAGTTCCCATCCCCTGTTGTTTTATATAAGAATATTCGAGAAAGTTTAGGGGAGATCACTCCCGGTTTATTGTAAATAGAAAGTTTATCAAACTATTTATATGTAAAGGTTTAGTTGAAGTTAAGCAGTAGAAAAGTATTCAAACAGTTGGTAACATGAATGAATCCAAAGCCTTTCTAAGTTTAACATTACATGTTACACCTGATCTGAAACAAAACACATTTCTTTGAATTTCCTCTCACAATTAAATTTATAAATAAATAAACAAAAAAAACCTTAGAATATAAAAAAGGTACCTAAAATTTGCTCTTTGTACTTTAAGGATTTAATTACTGTTGATCTTAATGATGCCATACATAAATATTGAGTTTTGTTTTTGGTAGAGATGTAATACATTATACTAGGCTATATTTAACAAGAATGCTTTATGAATCCAGTGACTTACATCACATAGAACATAGTTTCCAGATATAGCTGTTAGCATCAAGGGAGTCATACCATCAGCATTACAAAGCTCTATGTCAGCACCTTGTATCTTTATGAGGGCCATTATGAGAGGCAACTGATTTAGACCTGAAGAAGTTAAACATAGCTGCTGATATTTCATATTTTCTACAATAATATTTATTGTGTACAATATCTGTCGGATAATAAACTGGGATGGTGAAGTTGAGTAGGAGAGCAATTCAAACGTCTCAGGTAGAATTAGGGAAAGTAAAAGCAGCTGGGCATAGTGCTAACCAAACTATCCCTTCCATTCTGAGGCCACTGAAACTGGTTCTCTACTTGACTTGCCCCATCATCATCAGGTTCAAAAGCCTACTTTTAGAATATTTTAGAGAAAGTCTTTTGTCAAATCTTCATTTAAAACACAAGTAAATCCTTGCTTTTTTAAAAAGAAATAATATGTAGCCAGTCATGTTAAGCTATTTATTCAACCATTCCAAATTTTAAAGAAATATTTTGGATTAAAAAAATTGGATTAAAAAAAATCATTGTCAGTTTTCACTCATTTTCACTCATGTGCACAATCCCTTACCTGCTTTGACAGCTATATGCAAGAGAAAATCTCCATTGTTGTCACATTCTGTGTTGACATTAAAGTCAAGTGTCTGCAAATAAAACAATCATACACTGTTAGTTTAAATATCTGTTGATGTAATAAGTACATAAAATAATACTGGTAGTTAAAATATATGTTGATGTTGGTTAAGTGATATAATGAGAACAAATACAAAACATACGAAGCAGTTTTCTCAATATTACATACAATTTTCTCTCTTGCTATTAGCAAGTTCTTGACTTACCTGACTTAGTCCTCCTTACCTCTTGTAGAGCATAGGGCCTTGATCCTAATCTTCCACTGTTTTGTTTCCGGCTATGAATTTTGAGATCTTTAGTTCTTCAAAAAGACAGCTATATTTCTGTCTTGGGGGCTCTCTCTTTTGACTTCCCTATAGGTTTGACTAAGCACATGGCATGTTCCAGAGTAAGCCCCAGCCAATGCAACTTCCTCCTCCTTAATTGTAATGTCATGGTTCCTACCTAAAGGTTTGACTAAGCACATGGCATGTTCCAGAGTAAGCCCCAGCCAATGCAACTTCCTCCTCCTTAATTGTAATGTCATGGTTCCTACCTAAAGGTTTGACTAAGCACATGGCATGTTCCAGAGTTAGCCCCAGCCAATGCAACTTCCTCCTCCTTAATTGTAATGTCATGGTTCCTACCTTGGCATTCTCCACAGGTCTCTGTTGGGCACTTAGTCCAACAACCTCAGATTCAGAATCCGTCTGATACATTTGTTTATGGAGGTCTGATCTTGTCTGTGTAGGTCTTTCCATATCTCTACTCCATACAACAAAACTGCCTTGAAATTCTTCCTGACATGTTGACCTTGATGTAGATCCCTATTGCTCATTACTTCCTTAAATGCTGGTCAGTATGCAGGATATCAATCCCAAATGGTCAAATTCTATCTGAAATGCTGGTCAGTATGCAGGATATCAATCCCAAATGGTCAAATTCTATCTGAAATGCTGGTCAGTATGCAGGATATCAATCCCAAATGGTCAAATTCTATCTGAAATGCTGGTCAGTATGCAGGATATCAATCCCAAATGGTCAAATTCTATCTGAAATGCTGGTCAGTATGCAGGATATCAATCCCAAATGGTCAAATTCTATCTGAAATGCTGGTCAGTATGCAGGATATCAATCCCAAATGGTTAAATTATATCTGAAATGCTAGGCAGTATGCAGGATATCAATCCCAAATGGTCAAATTCTATCTGAAATGCTGGTCAGTGTGCTGGATATTAATCCCAAATGGTCAAATTCTATCTGAAATGCTGGTCAGTATGCAGGATATCAATCCCAAATGGTCAAATTCTATCTGAAATGCTGGTCAGTGTGCTGGACATCAATCCCAAATGGTCAAATTCTATCTGAAATGCTGGTCAGTATGCAGGATATCAATCCCAAATGGTCAAATTCTCTCTGAAATGCTGGTCAGTGTGCTGGATATCAATCCCAAATGGTCAAATTCTATCTGAAATGCTGGTCAGTATGCAGGATATCAATCCCAAATGGTCAAAGTCTATCTGAAATGCTGGTCAGTGTGCTGGATATCAATCCCAAATGGTCAAATTCTATCTGAAATGCTGGTCAGTATCCAGGATATCAATCCCAAATCGTCAAATTCTATCTGAAATGCTGGTCAGTGTGCTGGATATCAATCCCAAATGGTCAAATTCTATCTGAAATGCTGGTCAGTGTGCTGGACATCAATCCCAAATGGTCAAATTCTATCTGAAATGCTGGTCAGTGTGCAGGATATCAATCCCAAATGGTCAAATTCTATCTGAAATGCTGGTCAGTGTGCTGGATATCAATCCCAAATGGTCAAATTCTATCTGAAATGCTGGTCAGTATGCAGGATATCAATCCCAAATGGTCAAAGTCTATCTGAAATGCTGGTCAGTGTGCTGGATATCAATCCCAAATGGTCAAAGTCTATCTGAAATGCTGGTCAGTATCCAGGATATCAATCCCAAATGGTCAAATTCTATCTGAAATGCTGGTCAGTGTGCTGGATATCAATCCCAAATGGTCAAATTCTATCTGAAATGCTGGTCAGTATGCAGGATATCAATCCCAAATGGTCAAAATTCTATCTGAAATGCTGGTCAGTATGCAGGATATCAATCCCAAATGGTCAAATTCTATCTGAAATGCTGGTCAGTATGCAGGATATCAATCCCAAATGGTTAAATTCTATCTGAAATGCTAGGCAGTATGCAGGATATCAATCCCAAATGGTCAAAGTCTATCTGAAATGCTGGTCAGTGTGCTGGATATCAATCCCAAATGGTCAAATTCTATCTGAAATGCTGGTCAGTATCCAGGATATCAATCCCAAATGGTCAAATTCTATCTGAAATGCTGGTCAGTGTGCAGGATATCAATCCCAAATGGTCAAATTCTATCTGAAATGCTGGTCAGTGTGCTGGACATCAATCCCAAATGGTCAAATTCTATCTGAAATGCTGGTCAGTATGCTGGACATCAATCCCAAATGGTCAAATTCTATCTGAAATGCTGGTCAGTATGCAGGATATCAATCCCAAATGGTCAAATTCTATCTGAAATGTTGGTCAGTGTGCTAGGCATAGATTCCTATTGGTCAATTTTTTCCTGAAATATATAACTTTGTCTGCTTAAATTTAGTTTATTTATTTACCTGCAACTTTTTCTGAATATCAACAAAATATTTAGCATCAGAGGCCATTTTAAAAATTGTGTCTTTGTCTTGAAGGCTTGGCATGAGATGAGCTCGCTCTTTAGAAAAATCTTTGTTTAAAAGGTATCTAGGTGCCATATGCTTTCTAACAGCTGAGCTCCAACAAACTTGATCTGCTGTTAATCCTTTAGAGGAAAATACATAACATAATTAGCTGAAATACTGAAACAGATGAAGCTTGGTAGTTATGTCTAATGTTGGGTGGTGAGGTAATTGTAATCTGTAATGGTATAATCTCTAATGTCCAAAAAGTAAGGTAATTGTAAAATCTAACACTGGATGGTGAGGTAATTGTAATGTCTAACATACAATGGTGAGGTAATTGTAATGTCTAACATTGGGAGGTGAGGTAATTGTAATGTTTAAACTTGAATGGTGAGGTAATTGTAATGTCTAAACTTGGATGGTGAGGTAATTGGAATATCTAACATTGGATGGTGAGGTAATTGTAATGTCTAACATTGGGAGGTGTGAGGTAATTGTAATGTCTAAACTTGGATGGTGAGGTAATTGTAATGTCTAAACTTGGATGGTGAGGTAATTGCAATGTCTAATATTGGATAAAGTTAGATAATAATTGGATAATAATTGGATAAAGTATAATATTGGATAAAGTATATAGCTCCTTATATGATATATTGTGAGGTGGTAGAAAAACACCTAGGGATGTTAGAAAAATTTGTCATATCTGGGAAAAATCTACAAAGTGGTCAAAACTCACCAGTCATATTTCCCTATATAACCTTTGTAATTTATGTGAAAAACAGGGTAATTTCAACATAGATTTTAAGGTACTGTTTTAAAACTGTTGGTAAGACAATAAGCTAACGATGAGGGCTACAAAATTACCGCAAGTGAAATTCTCCATGTATGAGCTATATATTTAAAAATTTCCAAACGATCCCCCTAATATTTTGTGAGGTTGCAGACCGACCCTGCAGGGTAACAAAATAACTTTATTCCCTTCAGATAAAGCAATCTACTTAATTAACAGCCAATAACCAATTAATTAATCTCAAATGTTTTTTTTGAAAACCTAAGCAAAGCTAGTCAGTATGCCTGGTATTTAATAAATGGGACAATCAGCTATATTTTTTAGGCACCCCCACCCACACAAATACTTAGTTACTATAGCATTGACTAAATCAGTAGGCTACTGGAGAGACAAATTCCCAATATTATTCAGTTCGTTTTTTAACTTGCAGTTTTGTAGTTGAGTGACAAGAAAGTTATTGAAAAAGTATTAAAACCCACATCATTGCTAGATCCTTATCAAAATGATTTCTATCAAATGCAGAGTAAAACTGACCTTGGTTATCTTTTAATCTGGGTGAGATCCTGGCTGTCATAAGATAGTCTACAGCTTCTGTATTGTGGGCAAGCACAGCCAAATGCAACAAACCAGACCCGTTATTTAATGGCTGATCCACTCCTAAATGACAAAGAGTGCTTCCTTTAAATGTGATAAAGACATTCATTAAAAATGTATTTTATTTGCAATGGTGCAATCCTCTTTAGATGGTTTTCTTACAGCTAGCCTAAATTTCTACATTGTAAAAATAAGTATAATTATGAAGGTTGGAGACATTATGTAAATCAATAAACTAAATAGACTCACAATTTACAATTTGCTTTGGATGGAACAGAAAAGGATTGTGAGCTATGCTATTTTAAGAGTAGGTTGACTCTTTAAGAAAACTAAGTTTAAAAAAAAGAAATTTTAAAAATATCTATCCACAGCTTAAATTTGATGTTTTAAATTGAAAGAACCACCAAATCAGTACATAACAGCATCTACAACTCAAGTAATAAATTAAAATACAGGTAGACTTCACATCTTTGTGTAGGCATACTTGTAAAAACAAGTAGGGGGTAATGTGTGATTGATTCATAGCTAAAAATACACTTCTGATAAGGATAACAGTGTGTCATACTGTCAGCAACACAAAAAGCTAATTACACAGTTTATTTATTTGAAAAAGAATTGTGTGCTTAAGATTAAAATGATGTGATCCAGTTATCTGCAACACATGGAGTAGGTAGTAAAATGTTTCTAAACCATATTCAGCAGTAATTGCAATCAGGTGAACCAGGTCATACTATACAAAAACAAGTGTGAGAGATGCACTTGGACACAGGTCTGGAGCAATGGTGTTAGGAATATGCTGGGCTTGGGGGGGGGGGGGGGGGGGGGCAACCAAAATATCTTGCTTGGTTTCATAAATCACTAGTTAAACAATTAGGTTAGATCAATTTTGATAAATAGAGCACAAAAAAAAATTATAGATAGGCCTAAATGTTTGCTCCAGTTGTGAAGAATATAAGCCCAACACAGCTAGATATAAGTTAATATGAGAATGAATCATGCAATAAATGGACAATAACTGGCCTGCCTTCTGCATGGAAGCCTAGATAGGACTTACAAAAAATGTTCAGACTCAGCTGTTGACATCCTTGTGCACAAGAACTGCATCCCAAAAAAATGGTGCCCTGTCAAAACGGCCCGGGACAAATCGGCCCCGTCAAAACGGCCCCGTTAATTTGACCCCGTCAAATCGACCCCCGTCAAAACGACCCAGTCAAAATAGCCCCATCAAAAGGGCCCCAACTTATTGGCTCCCGTCAAATGGGCTCCCGTCATATTGACTTGCAACATATAGGCTCCCGACAAATGGGCTCCCGATATTTAGGCTCCCGACAAATGAACTCCTGACATATTAACCCCTGATAAATAGGCTCAGGACATATTGACTCCCGACAAAGCGGCTCACGACATATTGGCTACCGACAAATGGGCTCCCGACATATTGGCTTTTGACAAAATGACTCCCGACATATTGGCTCCAGACCAATGAATGACCACTATTGGCATAAAAGTAACCATTTTGTCCTACCTCCAATAACACTATAAATTCTTTTAAATGCCCGAATAAAATTGTTTTTCATGAACCAACATTAATTCACAAATAAATCGAGCCCTTAACAGCTAAATTCCACCAATTCTAAACTTTTGATAATGTTTAATTTACAACAGAAAAGATCTGTTGCTTAAAAGCGAGCACAGAAGTGTAAATGTATGATTTACATGATGTTTACATGATAACAGCATCTTGTTTTGATAACCTACAAGCATATTGCAGGTAGGAAGGTATAGTGCGGACCCTTCTCCCCACACACTGAGTTGGAACAGCCTATAACCGACTCAATTATGGATGTCATAGATAGATGACCCTTAAATTAAAACATACTATATTTTATAATAGATAAACTAATATAAAAATAAGGCGAACTAGAAAAAGTGGGTCACCCCGCAAAAATATTTTTAGCCCCCCCCCCATATTTAAATCTATATCTATATCTATGGTTTGAACGTTTACTTATCTTTGATAAGTTTGATTGTAGGAGAAAGAGGACTCGGCTTTCACAGTGGTTTAAAAACAAAGGGAAAAAGAATACAAGAGCGTGGGGTGGTGTCTATAGAATAAAGATAATCCAATCGCAGCTATAGTAATCTTTTTACATAACAACCATCAAGTTAAAAATGCAAGAAAATTATATTTTTTAACTATATATTTTTTTTAATTATGGTCGGCTGTGGGCCCCTAAAGGGCTTGCCCCCCGCCCCCCCCCCCTCATTGCGGGGTCTGGCGGCACTGTAGTTCCGCCCCTGGTTGTATTACATAAGAGTGTTGGATAAGCTAACTCTAAAGAATGTTGATGAAGGGGTCCCACTGGCAGGTGTCATATTCAATGAGACCGCTTTGCCGGGAGACTTAGTCTCCATAAAAACGGTATTGTCAGTGGTCCTTTTGTCTGGAGCCAAATTGACAGGAGCCTTTTTGTCGGGAGTCGTAATGACGGGGGCCGTTTTGTGGAGAAACTAAATGGCGGGAGCCTATATGTCGGGAGCCAAAATGACGGGAGCCTATTTGTCAGGAGCCTTATTGACTGGAGCCCTTTTGTCGGGAGCTTATATAACGGGAGTCTATTTGTCGGTAGCCTAAATGACGGGAGCCTATTTGTCGGGAGCCTATATGACGGGGTCCATACATCGCTGGCCCTTTTGATGGGGCCGATTTGACAGGGTCGTTTTGACGGGGCCGTTTTGTCGGGGTCGTTTTGACTGGGCCGTTTTGTCATTGGCTGTTTTGACGCCGCACGCAAAAAAATGTTCAATTAACTCTTCCTGACCATTCAATGTTTTAATAAAATGCAAGTTGCAACTACACTTTTTCACAACCAAATGTCATAAACTGGCACATTTGACTATCAATAACAATTATATAAGATATATAACAAGTATATTTTAAAGGCCTAATGTAAGCAAATGACAAGTTATTGACTTGATATGGGTACTGTAGGCAAATGACAAGATATTGACTTACTGATTAATTGTAAATCTATAAGACACTGTAGCAGATGTGTAGGCCCACAAGTGCAGGCCAAGGTACAGAGGTCAAACACAGCATCAGCACTTAGAACAGACTTCTGAATTCCTGAGTTCTATCATTAGAATAATATCAGCATTAATAGAGAGGAAACAGTATTAAACATCATAGCCGAAGTACAGTGGTACCTCAACATAGGAGTGCCCCAACACACACCATTTTTTACATACGAGCTGTCGAGCTAGCTAAAATTTGCTTTGACGTATGAGCAAAATTTTAGGTACGAGTTACCAGATTAGTGGGTTTAATACAGCTTTTTCAGACTTTTTTTCTCAGGGGATGGGGGCACTTCAAAATTTCAGGGAAGGTGGGGGGCGAGGTAGAAGAGATGCCTGAAAGAAACTGGTTTAACAGTTAGTGGAAAAGAAACACCTGAAAATTTGCAACTGATTGTACATCTCCTCCACCCTACACTGGGCCTACACCTCTTCCAGCATTTTACATAAGCTCAAGTTTGCTGATTTTCAAGATAAATACACTATATTGAAACAGTTTGTTTGCATTATCCTATGTTATATTTATATCCTATATTAATATTATTTATTAAACAATATTTTTCATGTATAAAAAACAACTGGGTTAGCATTTTTGGGGCTGGAACAGATTAAAGGGCATTTTAATGGAGAAATTTGATTTGAGATACAAGCCATTTAAATTACTAGTAATGAGGTACCACTGTACATAGATTACCAAAGATTACTAGAATACTATTTGCAAGATTTTACTAAATAAATCTGGTAATTAATATTATCCTAATGAAAGGGGGGGTGGGGGCTATTTAATGTTGCATATGTTTTTGTATATGTAGATCTATATAGTATTAAAAATGAAAAGTTGTAACTCTATCTGATAGTAAAAAAATCTAATATTTTAGCTCTCTGATTAATACACTTGAACTTACTTGGAAGTGCTCTCGTAGATCTTTATACTTGGGCCAAAGCGATGAGAATGTCACAGGGGGCTCGCCAACTTGGTATGGGTGAAAGGAAAGAGTTGGAATCCAGAAGATGTTCCGTGGGTTGTCAATGCCTTCTGAAAGATGATCTTCTTCTTGCTGTATTGACATGAGAATCATGTCTTGTCGTTTTTCTTTTCTGGCCTCTAGATCAGAGTTAATAACATCACCATGGAAACAATGGGCATGGTAAAGTCTACAGCTGCACTCAAGTGTTTTATTCTTTACAGATAATTGGCCAACTTGACCTGAAACATTCTTGAAAGATTTGGTCTCAGTTTTTACTTCCGATTGTTTTTTCCAAAAATTCAATGGGCTGTATCGTTTTAGATTGGGCCTCCTCTCTGCTTCATTATTTGTAGAGGAATGTGGAGATGTTTTGCAAACGTCATTAGGCCTACCAACACCTGAATCCTTCAATGAGCTAATTGGCATAGATGTTTGTTGGAAACTGAAAATGGATTCATCTGTGCACTTAGCAGATACCTCTGTTAATGTGGAGGCTTTGCTTGGGGACACTTTAAGGAAGTCCTTCGGTGTAGCAGGGTGAGATGAGGCTGTACTGAATGGGGAGGTTGGGCGAGATGAAGGGATGTAAACATTCTTGTTTACGCTACCCGGTGATGAGATATTTCTCACATCGTATGACATAACGCTACTTGAGTCAGAGAAAGTATTAGACCTATACATCTCAGTTTTGCTAGTAGCTTCAATCAGCTTATCTTGGACTTTTCTCCTCAAGCTGGGATTGCTTATGTTTCTGGAGAAATGTGATCCTATTCGTGTTGGTCTTTCTGCTTTAAAAGTAGATCTGATCCCAAGTGCCCTAGTATAGTGGAGAGTCTCCGGAGTAGGGTGTACGTTAGGCAAATGTTTGTCTACCAATGAAGTTCTGGTGTCTTCTAGTGTGTAGCTGTCTCCTCTAAAATAAGCAGATTTGTGGACTTCGTACCCATCTCCAGATGTCTTTGGCACAACATTGACAGAAGACAGTAGACTGGCTTGTTCATCAGAATCTTCAAATGGATTGTAATTTTCTGAAGAATTTTGATCACTACGATCTATCTTCATGGACTGGGCAAAATCACTACGTTCACACCTGTAATGGGGGATAAATACTGGAGGGTAAAATCTTGAATGCTGCCCACTTGAACTTTCTCCACCATCTGAAGTTTGGCCACCAGGATCAAATGTCGATGATGCACCACTCCATCGTATTAAAACTATTGGTTTGTGCATGTTTGGAACAACAGGCAGCATAATTCAAAGTTTAATTTCTATTATTTTTAAGGAAAATATTTTGAAGACTAAGCCAAATAACTTATTAGGAGCCAGTAAACAATTAATAATATAACTCAGAATCAAAATTATTAGCAGAAGGAAAGCAAGTTAGCTTATGGGGAAAAGGCATGATGGTTTGTGATCATAATGTTGTGGGAACATTAAAATGCTTATATTTATTATATAAGGACAGCGAGGTAGAATTCCAGACTCGAGTCTGAAGGATCATCCTTGAGTCCACCCAGCTCACATTAGGGTAAGTAAGGTGGCTGGGCATAGCGCTGATCTATATGCAGAGGTTACTGGAACAGATGAACTCTTTTTCATCTGCCCCATGAGCACAAAGAGGAATAGATGATGTATTATACTGTAATTTAAGTAATGGGTTTAAATAAAATGAAAAATGACCAAGCTCATTAAAACACAAGGTATGGACATAATTTCCTTTATAAGTGCACTTGTTCAGCACTAAAATAAAACATTAATTTAATTCATTATTTTTATAAATATTGCTTTATTAAATAATCACCTGAAACATTGAAAAACAATACTTAATGCATATTTAGTGACTTCACTTGAACATTGATACGATGACAATTTGAACACTTAAATTGCTTGTACATAATACATAGGTATCTATATGAGGGAGTAGGCAGGAATTTTGGGTGTAAGATAAGGGTGTGTTTGGTGGGTGGAGGGGAAGGGAGGAAGGTGAAGAGCATAGGCTGGATCTGAGGTAAAGAAAGTGGGTGGGTTTGTGTTGGCAAAGTGGTAGTTAGTAGAAGGACGAGATGCGATATTTTTGTGTGATCTTTAAAGACAGACAATTTTCATTTCTTATTACATTTTAAGGAAGGGAATAAAAAACCATACAATAGAGCCATGAATTTCATTTTTAATGTTTGAGTTGTTATTTATAGGCAACAAAATGTGCTAAGTTTGGGTTAATTTTGAACAATGTTAGCTTTTTCAGTAAATTACATAAAGCTTAAGTCATAACATATTTTTGAAGTAAATGTATTTGTAAAATTATAAACTTAACAGAAATTAAAACAATAAAGCTTTCTTTTAAATTTAAGTCTATTAACTTCAACAAGTTCAACATAGCATATAAAATACTCTTGTAATTTGGATACATTATCGGGATGGAATGGTGAAGGAATGCAAGCATTTAGCGTACAGCAAATCAGACGAAATATTCAAAAATCCCAACATGACTGGAAAAAAAGTAATAAAGCCAGCATAAGTGATAATATAACATTAAGAAGTCCTTTGAGGTAGTTAGGATAATAAAGCAATGAACATAATTCAAGGGATAAAAGTGTAAATTGAACATGATAAAAATATCTGATGCTGGTATGAAATTGTAAAATAAGACCATATTTAATGGAACTTAAATTTGGTCATAGTTTCAAATACAATTTTCTTGCATTGTAAAAAGGGTCTAATGATAAGTTAAAAATCCCTGACTTAGAGATTTAAAGTATTTTAATGTTGATCTTATTTCACACAAAATGTGGTGGGATTTAGAAATGCTTACATAAATTCTGGAATGCTTTAGAAGTATAGAAGGCAAACCTTGTTAATGACTTACTGTAAAGGAAACATTATCCAAATCAGCTAGAGCACAATGACTAGAGATGACACTGCTTGATAAACTGAAACAAAAATGTTAGTTCTTAAGTAACTCATTTTTTAAATAAAATAAAGTTATATTTAGTTTATAGGAGTACAATTTCATAATATTTTTAAAGCAAAGAGTAAGTTCATAAATGTAATAAAGGTAGAGATAAAATAGTAAAGTGGAGCATAAAATAATAGAAATGGGTAAATGCTGATAATGCTGAGATACAGAACTTGGTTAGTTTATGAGATTTGCCACCATTTGAAGTGGGAGCATTTAAACTAATTAAAGATCCTGCTTGCACATACCTTATTATTATGTTTAAGAAATCTAACAAAAATTACCAAAAAGATTTTTATTCCATTTTCAATTAATTCTAACAACACAGATACAAAATGTAGCATTTGTATCAGGCAGTTATTATTAACAGCTATCACCGCAAAATAAACAATTACAAAACCACGATCTTAAAAATGGTAGATAAGATAACATAGGCTAAAGTGTGTTTCTTCACTGTGTATACAAAAATAACTTGAAGGCCTAATAATTACACTGTTATTAATACAACCTATGGTAGTTAAATGCTTATCATTTTAAAAAAATAATTAAAAACCACTATGTAGTAGCAGAAACCTTAATGCTAGACGTTATAAAATGTTATGTAATGTATACTATTGGCTAGTAGAAAATAAATGAATAGGCTGACATAAATAGTCAGTGATAAATTATATCTTAAATGTTCACTCTGTTTATTTACCTTAAGTACTCCATATTTTTGTGCAAACTGATTTCCAAGACAAAAATTAAATCCAGCTTTAATACAAATAGATTTAGCAACAATTGCATCTGCTTTAATATTTCAGTTTTAGAACAGTATATTTCATTTTAGGTAATAATTTTAATCATAAAACTGATATTTATTTTTTAAACTTGGATAAATTTATTTTGTCATACTTTATATACCAAACACATTAAAGTAAAAAAACGCAACTGTTTACAACTTTAGTGTCATGACACTGATAACAAAGTTTCATATAGGCCTATTTAACAGCAAAAAGTTATCTCTAAGTCTTATGTCACTCAAACAGGTCAAATGTTAATCAGTGCTTATAACACCACATTTAAAAAACCCAAAAACAAAAACTGATTTTGTACAGTAAGTCACAAGAGCCACCTACAAAATACATTTTTATATCAAATGCAAGAGGAACTAATTTAGCCACAAAACAGAAAACTAAACAACAACAGAATATAAAAAAATATGTATGCTCTCTACAACAGTTAATAATTTATTAATTTGATGCACTGACAATGCATCTCCCATCAAATTTGTTATGCTTCACATGAGATACTAAATACTGTTTCATGAATTTCTAATGAGCCTCATAACTAGGTCAGTGTTAGTTTATAAGTTTTTACATCTAGGTCAGTTTTTTTTAATAAAAAAACAGAAAAAATATCTAAGTATGTAATTCTAAAAACAAATTTCAACACAAAATGCTGTTCTCAGTCAACTGCTAGCAGTAACAGTGATTTTAACATATAGCAAGTTTCAAGTATTTGATTAGTAAACACTGATGTAATGTAGTTATTGTGGCAATCGTCATGTGTAAGCTTGAGAAATGATGTCATACTGTTTAGATAACAGTCATGTATATCACCAGATGAATTCAGCCATGGGATGAGTAATGCTCTTTATCAAACATGCTACTAATCTGACCAGGAGAAACGAAGCTATTCAATTAACATTGCACTTTTTCAGTCCAATACACAGCTTTTTTTTAAAGACTTATTCCACAATGAAGACACAGAACTATCAATCTGATTCTTACTGAAACATCAGTGAAGAATTGAAGTAGCATTTTAAATGGATACAGTTGTTCCCTTTGAAATCAGCTATATTTGCTGAATTTAATTTTTTATTATTCTAAACATTAAAATTTTTGTAAAAATCCAAAAATCTTAACAAATTAGGTCAGTGATCCAAAATACTTATGGATAGTTTTCTAAAATTATAGTAGTCTAATTATAATACAGAACTCACAAGGTTACACATTTTTACAATCTTAAAATGGTCCTAAACAAACAGAAAACACAAAATCAACACCACAGTAAAATTGGAGCACAAATTATTAAACTTAAGTAATCTATTGTTTTAGGTTTCAACCGACATTGAATCTCCTGCAACAACTTGAGCTCTGGTTATTCATTAGGCTCCGTCCTTGCATTAAGTTTACATGAAACATTTAGCTCTAACTGATAATAACACTCACCTTGTGTTAAAAAAAATGCACAATAATTATTCTTGTTGCTTCATATCATGCTCTAGAAGTTGTTCACTAACCTTACTCAGTAATAAAACTTATCTTAACAGTATTTCAGAATTACTTTTGAAAATATATAATTATGTATTCATGAATTAAATATTAATTCACAAGAATTTATGTATTAGAAACATCACAACAATGTTTCAACTTTTCTAAAGTGCAAGCAGGTGAACATAATGAATGGAAATATGTAAATTTCCAAAATATCTATAAGATGATTGTTAATACAATTCTGTTTTGAAAATAATAAAGCTTTATAGCATGGAAAATCTGGACAATTGTTATTCATTGTGTTCTAGCATCAATAATTGCTGATCAAAAAAAAAAAAAGAAAAAAAATCACATAAAAAAGAATTATTCTAACCATAGTTAAGAAAATGTGTTTAAAATGAACAGAAACCCGTGCTTAAGGGCATAAAGAGAGAATGAACTCCATGTGGCAGTTCCCTAAATTATGTCTATTTGTAAAAAAGTTCATGTAATGGTCTTATTCAAGTGAGAAATTTTGACAAAAGAAAAGTCGAATAGATTCCTGTTTAAATCATCTGCTTGTCTGTGATCAAAAGAGCAGTGGTTGTTATCTGAGAAGTTAATTAGTAGTTTTATAGGGATTTTTGTGGGGTTAGAGTGCTATTTGGGGTCTAACAATTCTAGGTGCTTGATATTAACATCTCATAAGTAAGGGCCTAACTATAAGACTTTAAATACATTATAAACTACACTACCTAGTAATAAGTATCCTACCTCTGTACTACCAGATCTACATTCTCTGGTGGAAGTATGCCAAAATTGTTTATGTAGCCTACTTGATCATTATAATACATTTTAAGGGCATCCAAAGGGTATTTATGATTAGCAAGATTTGCTATATAAATAAACAGCGGCCATCTGTAAATTAGAGTGGTTTCCCCAGAATCTCTAGCTAGAATGTTACCAAAAAACTCAAACAAGATGGTTGCTAATGTAAATGAGCTTGGTTGCATCTGATGAAAACATCGCTAATCTTTATTTATTACTGAAAAGTTTTAATACAATTGTTTAAAAACAGGTACATGAATGAAAGTTTGAAACATTTTTGTAACTTTTAAAACATAAATCTTTCTAAAAATGTGAATTAATTACACAAATTTGATGAGTCACCCTTTTTTCATATTACTAGCCTCGGCTGATTTTACGTACCTAAATACGATAGATTCAGTTATCTATAATATTTGACACAAATATATCACAATAATATACTTCTATTAGGTAATTTATCGGCTGAGACTAGTAATATGAAAAAAAGTTGCCTCATTGTTAATGCTTTAATCTATAATATAAGTGGCTAGGTAGTGTGTCAGTCCATCATCGCTATTGATTTTGAAAGTCTCTCCCTGGGCGCGGCTACACGTGTTGTTCGGCAGCGGTTTAAATTACGCCTTGGGTTCAGTGAGATGTCTGGACGGACATTCGTGAGAGCGTTGGCTCTCAATTTTTTAAAATTTTCATGAATATCCATATTCTCACCAGATTGCTACCGACAACCACGCGCGGTGCGCTGAAGGAATACACGAAGGAATAAATAAATAAATAAATATATATATATATATATATATATATATATATATATATATATATATATATATATATATATATATATATATTTATATATATATATATATATCATACAGTGTTAAAAGTGTTAACAGCCGTACAATTGAAGATAAATTACAACATGAATTATGTTATCAAACAGAGTACAAATAGAAAAGCATTTTAAAAATTTACTTAGCTAAACTTGAAAACACTGAACACAAATAAATCCAAGGGAATGAATGACTCAACAAATGTAATAATGGGTAGAATTTCTGGGAGGGGAGACAGTTTGGGGATATGCCGGAAGTTGGGGGAGGGGGGGTATTTTTCATGCCCTACAAAATAGTTTTTACATTGCCCTAGCGGACCAGGCTGCGATCACAGAGGTAAGATATTCTTTGTTGAATTAAATTTGGAAAAAAACTAAAGGTCAAAGTTCACCATTGTTGATTGTTACAACTGAGGCCATGGTTGATGTGAGTGAGTTACACCCATCTGAACTGCGACAGGAAGAAATTAGTGTCACACCTCGATGTGTGCAGGTTTGCCTGGTAATTGTTTGACCTGAAATGGTTGCCGATAGTTGGACTTGAGTGAGCCATCCCACCCCACCTACCTTAAGCCTGGTATGTAAGTTTGGGAAAACACGTAATGTGATACCCTAATGTATTCGGAACAATGCAGAAGGTTTTCTTTTGGATGCCTGTACTAGTTACGGACCTTAGAAATGCTAGTCTTGTCTCGTATGTCAAAGTTATCAAATACGTAGGGTAAAGCGTCTAGTCTTGGTAAAAGAAAAACAAAACTCGATACATTGAGAAAATATAAAAAAAAACACTACTTTTCCAAATTGGAGATTAAGGTTTCGAACACATAGAATACTAAATACACTATTCCCCTGAACTGATACAGCCTTACTGTACATGTTGAAGACACGCATGGTAAACCTTGGTCCCCGCGCTATGGTCGGCCCTATGCCTCTAGGTCCAACATATATAAGGGCTACCAGGGCCGTTATAACTCCCACAATTCGTTAAATCAAAGTGGACTAACTTACTCTACAGATGGCTCTACTATTTATAAAACCAGTTCTATGTAAGCGCCCATTTACTTTACAGATAGCTCTACTTTACATTAAAATACTTTAACTTTAGCGCGACTTTTACCATGCTCTACAATTCATATAAAACGATAAAGGCACAATTATTTTAAAATGATATCACTACAATATATAAAAAAAAAACAATATGTTGATACATATATTCTTGAGCATATCCTTATAGTGTCTCAAAAACAATATGGTCATTCTTATTCTTTAGTATATTCATATTATACATCAAAATCAAATAAAGGTATGCCCCTACAATTTATCAAAAACAAGATGGGTTCAATTACTCTGCAAATGCCCTTAAATTTTACCCAAATTTTTTTGGATTGAAAATTATGATGGGTATAATTACTGTATGGATGCCCTTCAAATATATTATATGAATACAAGCATACTTACTTCAAAGATGCCCCTGCAGTATATAAAAATAATTATGGACATAATTACTCTATGGATCTCCTTGAATATGAATAACGAATATGGGCATAATTACTTTACTTTAACTTTAAAAATGCCCCTACAGTGCATAGGAATTAATGGGCAAAAGTATTCTAACAGATGCCCCTACACTATACTAAATAAATATTAGAAACACACTTTAATATAAAGACCGCATTTATTAAAGTAACGTTAATTACTATTTATATACAACAGCCCTCTTTTTCCATAAAAGTTGTGCTATACAGACAGTGATAGACAATTGAGTATTACAATTTGTTTTGGGTGAGATTAGTAAATAAATAAATCAGTCAGCAGTCAGTGTGGAGACTGATGAAAAATTAAGATTACACAATGACACAACATACTGCAGCTTTTTTCAATTACAAAAAAAAAAGAAAAAAAAAGAAAAAATCACCCCCATTGGATGCCCAGTGCCTGGGCCCTGTCCACCCCCCCCCCCCCCCCTCTGCACGCCACTGGTTGCATCTGATGAAAACATTGCCTGTCTTCATTTATTACTGAAAAGTTTTAATACAATTAACAATTGTTTAAAATAGGTAGGGCCTACATAAATGAAACTTTAAAACATTTTTGTAAATTTCAAAACATAAATCCTCCTAAAAATGTGAAATAATTGACATAATTATTAAAATTTAAGGAGTCACCTGTTTTTCACATTACAAGTCGCGGGCGATTTTACGTACCTAAAACGATAGATTACCTAGGCCACTACCTAGAATGTTTGTCACTAGACTAGATCTAGATTCTACTGCTCATTAAATTACTCATTAGTGAGTCATTCATTAATGGCTATTAAAGTTTAAATTACTAGGACTAGGCTATTAGATAATTAGAACCTTATGAATCTAGATCTAGATTATTTTTAAATTATTTTAGTAGATCTATTTAGATCTACTATTTAAATTTACTGCTCTAGACTCTATTCCTAGAATTTAATCTCTGCTATTTGGTTTGTTTACATTTATGAAAAATAAGAGTAGCGGCCCTTTTTTTTGAAGTGGTCGGTAAAATGCAAGACGCGAAAAATTGGAAAAATCCATGTAATTTAATAAATAATATCGATACTGGCGAGCTCGTTCCAGGACGTTGCCGCGTTCTTAGAAGAAAGTCTGACAAAATATTTCAAAAGGTTTACACCAATGTTCTTGTTTTCTAAAACTTGAGTAATTGAAATAAGTGGAGTAAAGATAGGTCGGGTGTCTCCCGGTGCGGCACCTAATGGTGTCACCCCCCCCCCGTAGTACAAAAAGTAAGTATATATATATATACTTTATATATATATATATATATATATATATATATATATATATATATATATATATATATATATATACTTACTTACTTAATCCTCATCACTCCCTGTGGAGTATAGGGCAGCAACAAATCTCCGCCATTCCACCCTGTCCTGGGCGAGCCACTTTTAGTTCATGCCAGGTTTTGCCAGTAGCCTGTACTTCTTCTTCCATCTCCCTCCTCCATGTTCCCAGTGGTCTTCCTCTATTTCTCTTTCCGGGTGGGTTCCACTTCAGCGCCATATATATATATATATATATATATATATATATATATATATATATATATATATATATATATATATATATATATATATATATATATATATATATATATATATATATATATATATATATATATATATATATATATATATATATATATATATATATATATATATATATATATATATATATATATATATATATATATATATATATATATATATATATATATATATATATATATATATATATATATATATATATATATAT